TCACTGCCAATGTCAAGGAGCTGCCCGGTAACTTATGGCGCTGGCAGTGAAGGAAGTGCGACTTCTCATTAGCTCTAATTAGACTGCAACCATTCCGCTCTCCAGTCACCAACACACTTCCTTCGTGGTTCTTTTTTCGCCCTAAAGCTTTCGTCTTCGGATGGAGAACACCGTTTACAACACGCTAAATTTCTGCTCACTAGGCTAATTTTGAAATGGAGTTGCAGGGCAAGAAGTTTCCGCTCTCTTTGTAGTACAGGAACTCGAAAAACTGCCCGGTTTTTCAAAGAGACTCGGAGTGACATATTGTTGATAGAACGACATCGCTTCTCCGTACGCCACTTAAAGAGCCGTCAACTTTGCTCATGTCTTCGCTCGCCCATAAACGAGAGAGAGGCGCGCAAAACATACTCGGTGAAAAACATTCACAGCATCAGTAATAGATGTACGAAAGATAGAACATAACTTTATTAACACGTTGGCCGCGATGTGCGCCATATATGTACACGCTGTACTTCTCAGAATCGCGATGTGTACACATGTGGTACATTCATATGAAAAATACATATTTTTAGAGCCAATATGAGCCACAATAGGCGTGGCTTCATTTGGTACACATCGCCAGGAATAATGAAGATTTTCAACCCTGAGCGATGTGCACCAAATGCGGCCACGAATTTTATGTGACACAATGACAGAACATACCCCTGCAGAGCTGCACACAACTTTTCTCCTTGCTATCTGCCGGGTAACTGAAAATATACAAGTTTGAACCTATCGCCCGTACGGCATTCGGGCCAAATCAGCAATCGCGGCCAACGTGCTAAGGAAGGAAAACATCTGTAAATTAGTATCTAAACCTTATGAATCAATACTAATAGCCACTTGAAATTTGCTAATAATTATTTGAATTTATATATTGTCATATCATTGTAGATTTTAACGAAGGTAAAATTCAAAAAGCGAATGATCGGAGATAGTTGAGCGGCTGAAAGCATGAGCAGCGCTACGTATAGTGTGTCGGGCCATGACCTGGTATAAAAATTTTATAAAATGATAATATTTAGGATCAACTTGATATTTGGCATGTTCAGCATGCTCATCACTGTTTACTCCGAACAAAACATGAATGAGATTAAACACATGAAAGACTGAAGACATCGTCTACCTCTCCGATTATCACGTGAGGAGCAACTCGAAAAGCAAACGTGTAAGAAAGTTGGGGATATCAACATAGAACAGTGCTTGGGTTATTAACGCCTACATGGTTGCTGGGTGCAATTAAGTGATCGCCAGCGATGCCTCGGAGTGGCTACAGAACATCAGGCGACAGTGACATCTGCAGAAATTGTGTCTAACTTGCGAGGTCAATTCCTGTTAGAAGACCTAGAATAGCATTATGCCAAATAGTACACAGTGCTCGAAATTGCTGATTGAACTGAAGTATGATATGATTTTTGATTAGTGTTAGTTAATTACATTTAGCAACGCATTTACACGACTTTCACTATGGCTTCTTGTTCTGCTCAGTCTACAAAAAATAATGTGGATTTCTCACATTCTAACTTCAGGCATCACAAGACGTCATCTCGTCGTGTGCCCAGCGTCAAAATCTAGCGGAAAAATGTCTCTACTTCCGCACAAAACACGAGGATAAGACAAAAGGCCGCGTCAAAGGATTCAGGTTTCAGTTATAAGTGAATATCAAAGGCAACTTTGTACATTAATATATCCACCTTTAATCGTAAGAGTATACCCATATATGTATTTTCGATCATTTCATAATTTGACACAAAGTTATCTATCTAACTACTGATTTGCATGTAATTTCAAGGGGTACATATTATTATAGGAACATCTTCATATATGAACCATTGCCTGTCGCTATCCTCTTAATCAGAAGCGTTGAAGAATTACATGATCTCAAAAAATTATATTAATCAAAAGCATCTTCTATAAAAGTGCACGAGACGAAAAACTTCAAATTACAATGCAAGGGATATCGGTTCAGGTCACGATTTCTATTTAACTATATACTCATAAGTTATGACTTTTATAGATCATGAGCTCGGCATAGGAAAATAACATAATAATCATTGAATTTCGCAACTCGAGCTCGAGCGCTCGACGTTGGAAGGCTGGACTTTTGAATATTGAACAATATTATATGATAATATTCCATAATATAGCATTGAAACGACGCGTGATGACCTCCTTCTCTACACATATATTTCGCCCACTATCTGCCACATAGCACTGGATATGTCTGTGATACTCAAGTCAGAACTGAACAATGATACTTAAAAGAAAGTAAAGTAGTTGCTATCAAGCAACGTTTCTTCAGGTTAAGGTGATATACGGCAGATTTAAGGAATGTAGTGCGCTCATTCAACAAGTTCCATAACCAAGGCAATCTAAATGTTTTGTTATCGCAGCGAGTGCTGATGAACTGAAGGCAATGAAATTATAAACTGATGTTGTAACACTCGTTTGCAAAGTTGCATATGCGAGAAGAATGCATTTCAATTATTATAATGGTTGAAAGCATGAGGCAAACAATCGAAATGTATTTGATGCTATAGGGAATCATTTGTGTTTGCTTTCCGTCCAAAGTAGTTAGGCAAAATCGAACCACTCATTTATCGCTTATAAAAATCGTTTACTTTACAGGACACATAACTTGGACTTGATCCGCAAGCGTACTTTCATTAGATTTATTAAGAAAATTAATAATTACATAGGAATTACGTGGCTCAGCTTTGTCCCCATTTGCCCTGAACCACGGAGTGACTACAAGAGAACAATTTGCATCGAACCACGAAATGACTACAAGAGAACAATTTGCATCGAACCACGAAATGACTACAAGAGAACCACAAGTATATCAAATCTGACTAGCTGGAGTGGAAATGGAAGCCTCGTGAGATAACTCGTGTAGAAAATTAATGGAAATAATTTTCAATATCAGGCTTGGAAATTAAAAATATCGGCTTTCCAATCAAGTAACAACTAGGAACGTAGAACCACTCCACTATTCGAATTCCTATAAGCATGACATTTATTGAAACAAAAATACGATGAATTAAAGTTATAAAACAAATATCAAGCCTCAAACAACCACGTACAAAATTAGTGACTGAAACGTCCGAGTAGAAGTAGTACTCAAACGAAAATAATAACAGTTATATTTTGTAATGAATTCTTTCCAAGTAATTCTAGATTGGAGGGCCAGACCCAATAATGACGATACCGTCCATGCAAGCAAGCTACAGTGATGGAGGCAAACAATCGACAATTGTTATGCTGGTAATCTGGTAGTACAAAAAAGGATTACTGACTATATTTTTAGTCGCTATTTAGAAGAAAAATAGGCATTAGAAAAAAATATCAGCTGAAGAACTAAATCGTAATAGCTAATCACAGATAATGACTTCCGGCATAATTATTCGAAATTTTAAACGGACACAATCACTTTCCATAAATAACGCACATGGATTCACTATCCCTAAAAATATATTGATAATACCGTATACCTCAAAGTAAAATCAATTAATAACCATCTTTAGTAGTAGTAGTATATAGTGGTTTACTATATAATAGGACTTCTGACGGGCACAGACACACGTCACAAGTCCTCCCCCCCCCCTGAGGGGAATAACCATCTTTATGCATTTCTTATTGAGATTTTAACTCAGAACGCGTGAACATCATTCAGTCATCATGAACATAACATCAGAACATTAACTCAGAACCATCGTCGCGGTGCCTGCATGAGAGCGTGCATGCAGATTGCGGGACGCCAAACGAAATCATAACGGTGGAGTTAACGACATTTAGGCCAGATTCACACCACACTGCCGGGCATGTGTCAGGCATATGCCAGTCACGGACCGTATTACGTCAGGTGAATTCCCATGTTCAGTTCGGTCTCGGGCCATCCTCACTTCAGTTCCTTTTAACAATGGCCATGTGTGTTCACAGTCAAAATATCTTTTGCCTTAAGCGTGGCTGGGACCGTGCCTGGCACGGCAGGTGTGAATGCTTCCATAGAAATGCATTTAAATAATATTTGACTGGAGCGTGACTGTCACGTGTCTGGTACTACGGTGTGATTCAAGCTTAACCCCACCGCTGCGCTCAGTGGCGTGGTTAACATTAACCCCACCGCTGCGCTCAGTGGCGTGGTTGACATTAACCCCACCGCTGCGCTCAGTGGCGTGGTTAACATTAACCCCACCGCTGCGCTCAGTGGCGTGGTTGACATAACCCCACCGCTGCGCTCAGTGGCGTGGTTAACATTAACCCCAACGCTGCGCTCAGTGGCGTGGTTGAGTGGTTGACACCAACGAAGTCCGTCAAGCAATTACACTCACTAACCACTACCGTGATCCATAATTGCCAAAACCGCAATTTACGAATATATTTATAAAACATAAAATAATTTTGGTTAACACAAACCAAAACGCAGCTCCAAATGGCAAGACAAAGATTGCTTTTGGCCATCAGTGAATTAAACTGAATTCTCAATAGATTTTTCTACTCCCATTTGAAGATCTCAATACGAACATCGCGATAGAGGCAACACCACGAAGAAAAATAAAAAAATAAACGCGAGTTGAGAGGCAGGCTCTCTTCGTAATCAAATACTGATATATTTGCATAAATACTTTCATAAAATTTATTAAATATCTCCGCCAGAAGCATTGAATATTGAATACGGACGCCTCAATGCCTCGGACATTAACAAGCGCGCTCTGAAACATGTCTCCGTTTGTGAGATAAACGAGGAAATTGCCTATAAATATCACATAAACTCTGTAAACAACGAACAAATGTTAGAAGCTAATATTGCACTGGTAGGTAAGCAACCATTCTGTAGCTCGTAACAGGATCAAATACCATATTATCTCGCATAGCCGAATAACAATTTTTAAGACAAACTAAATAAAATTTTTAAAAATCAGTATCTACTCATAACAATAGATAAATTATTTTTTAATATCAATATTAAATAATCAATATTCAAAATACTATAGAAACAAAGAAATCACATAACATAAGAACATTAGGAATAAATACACCGTAACCCGAAATTACCAACCAAGCTGCCATTAAATAACTTCAAAACAAAGACAAATATGCGTGACTTATACGAGCGCCCAACGGTCATGGCCGACCACATGCCTCAGTTGCATAAGGGTAGTCATTTTAGCATAAAAATAAATTAAATAATAAAAATAGTAATAAAAATTTAAGTAATAAAAATGGTGACTCACTTTCTTACTAACAGCACGAACAGATAGTGGATGTAGCACTTTTTCTGTACCGTACCAATCTAAGTCAGGGTGACTTCAACAAAGGGCAAAAAATACATCGATACTTGGACAAAGCTTCACTCTCTTCTCTAAGAAGGCATCAGTCAGGCCCTAAACCACTAGAAGCAGCAACACAAATGTCGGATCTTCGTCTGAGCGTGACGAGAAGATGACACACTTTTTAGTGACACACTTCGTCTGAGCGTGACAAGAAGATGACACACTTTTTTGTGACACACTTCGTCTGAGCGTGACGAGAAGATGACACACTTTTTCGTGACACACTTTGTCTGAGCGTGACATCTCACAAGAGTACCGGTAACAGTGAGGTTGACACACATCAAATATCCGAAACACGTATCCAAGATACGTATAGTAAACACTGAAGTAAGAGAATTTTTGGAACGTCTAAAATACGTTGCGTAAACAGGAATAAAATTCGAATTTTTAGAACTTCGTCTTGCTGATAAAACCATCGTTTTGAAACAGAAGTCAACCCAGTAATAAATAACAAACTGCAATAGCTTAGCTGGCTGATATAAGTACGAACCTAATCTCATGAGAAGAGAAAATAGGTACGTGCAATCGGAGCTGACTCCTACTCCAGGCTTACATGTGACACTAAGTTGAAAAACAAAATCTGGAGGAGCAACTAGACTAAATCTGAGCATTTTTGCGATTTCGTTAACTGTGCGGAAAAATTGCAGTTGCAAAATATAATTATTGTTGAAAACGTAAATCATCTATAATCTGGCCATGCGTGGTGATCAACAGCCTTGAAGTGGGCAACAGTTGAAGTCTCTGCACTGGAGTGGACAACAGTTGAAATCTCGGCACTGGAGTGAGAACAGTGCAAAATTTTCTACACTAGATTGGGAATGGTGCAGAAGTAGCGTGACAGGAGTGAACAAGGTGCAGAGTTCTCTTCACTGGCGTGAGGACAGCGTAGAGTTTTCTTCACTGATGCGAGTACAGCGTAGAATTCTCTTCACTGACGTGAGGACAGTGTAGAGTTCTCTTCACTGACGTGAGGACAGCGTAGAGTTATCTTCACTGACGTGAGGACAGTGTAGAGTTCTCTTCACTGACGTGAGGACAGTGTAGAGTTCTCTTCACTGACGTGAGGACAGTGTAGAGTTCTCTTCACTAGAGTGGAGTGCAGAGGAAGGCTGAGAGGATAGAGTGGCGTCTGGCGAGGGGCATGAAGAGGACGCACTGCCTGAAGGTGCCTCGCGCCACGCCGCGGGTGAAGAGTTCTGCTAAATACGAACAAACATAGAAGATTATTGCTGCAGTCTGCTCAGTGAGTTACCTGGAAATCTCAATAAAACTATTGGAACGATATTTAATTTTCTTGAGAATAATATACACCTCTAAAACAAGTATAAAACACAAACAGCCTAAATAATAAGCAAGGTTATTTTACATTATTCTCTGTATCAGATCTCAATGCGCTGCCCAAAGAATAGACTCTGCAACGGCGCCTCAGGTGCCGGATCAAAATATCATAAAATCTCCCACAAAACTGAGAGAAGAGGCAGTGTTAAGAAGTTAAACAGTGCAGTTAATTTGATCACGGCTTACGCGTTCTTGCGACGCAATAACTCTATGTAGGCAGACAAAATTTTGAATGGCACTAACAGAATTAGGTACAGAAACAGTCTAGTGAGACAGCGTAAAATAAGGGTTAGAAACCGCAAAGTATTTACAACTACAACGATGTGATGTGCAGATTACGGAGGTACAATAACACCATGATGCATGGCACTAACTTAAAATAAGAGTAAGAAGCAGTGTAGTATTTACAGCGATGTGAGGTGCAGGATATGGACGAACAATCAACCAGCAACATTACGTATTGCACCAACTTTAAGGGTTAGAAGCAGCGTTGTGTTTACAGCGGTGTGATGTGCGGTATACGGACGAACAAACACATTGCACTAACTTTGATGTGCGTGAGCGCACTGGTGAGCGCAGAGCGCAGCTCCACGCTCAGAGCCAGAGCTGAGCGCAACTGAGCAGTTTGGCGCTCACTGCAGCCTGACGTGAGCATCACTGCCGTTAGCTGGCGACTGGGACGGCTTCTTCGTCCTACATTCGCGGGCGCTACGAGGAAGTCATCTTCATTTGAAGCGTTGGTGTTTTCCAGAGGTTTTGGTGTCGATGACAACTCTTGCGACAGGCTCGCGTTCGTTGGGATAATACTTAACGGCGTTTGAGGAGGGCTGAAGTGTTCCATAGACGCACGCAAAATCATTTGTTGGCTGCCCGAGGATGGGTCGAGATCAGGGGAACCGTTTGCTTCAGAGCGATTATACTGCACACGAAGCATTGCTTCCTGCCTCCGAAGCGATGATAAATCAAGTGCACTGTTCTCGTTCTGAGTGAGTGCTGCATTGCAGCTGCTGAGACCACAGTGTGACGATCCAGCTTGTTTAGTTTCGTTCGGTCGGTCGTTGTGATGAGATGTTTGAGAGGGAGAAGCGGGAGTATTCTGTTGGGCAACGGTTGTGCCACTTCTCGTTTCAAGAGAAGAGTGAAGAAGGCCGGACTGAGAACAAAGGTGCTGCAATGAACATGGGAGGTCGTCACTGAGACAGTATTGCTCACCATGGTAGAAGTGGTGGCTTGAAGACGCTTGTGATCTTGAAAAACGTCCCGCGTGATTCATTGAGACACTTGGTGGAAGAATAGCATCGTTCGGCAGCGAGTGCAGGCCCTGTGAAGAAAACGCCAATTAGACTGGCAAGCTCAATGTTCCAGTGCAAAATATTAACAGCACTGACAACCTAGTGAAGCTTCCTGAATTTGTTTAGAGTACCTATAAAATAGTTCAAATATTATCAGCATACTTTTACTAACTTACACAAGGGACCCTTCGAGAGAAATAGAGTGCCACGATAAAGACAGAAATGTAAATAACCGATTTTTACCAGAGGCTGACGTGACTGGGTGGCATTTACAAAAACATGCATGCGAGAACTTCAACAACTATTCTTTTTTTCCCATTGAATAAGACCAGGAGAAAAAAAAGTAGCATAATGACTTCCAATAGTAACGACACATGCCTGTCGTGTCTGGAAAACACCTGCAATTAACTACCGAAAGGCTTGCGTCCAGTTACGAAGACTAACTCAAAGCGAATGAATCTTGAAATCACTTCATTCTCTCATGAAAAAACACAAATACTTGAAATTCCATCAGTTCATAGGTAGGCTGAAGGCCACTGACCTGAGGCGTGCCAGAGCACAGCGTGGGCGGGCAGATAGCGGCGGAAGCAATACGCTCTTCCATCCTTAGCACTTCAGCAGCGCTCTCCTGTACCGAAGGAACATAAAATGAACTTGATACATAGGTACATAGGTAATCAAATATATTGAGCAACATTAAAAGACATATATATCAGGTTTCTTCTCACTAAAAAAAAATTGATGCTACAGCACGGCATCCAACCATAAGAAAAATAAAATCTTAATACGGTTTTGGTCTAGAGATCGTGCAATCAAAACTATAGTTCATCGTGAGACAGCTGGCTGAGAACGGTACTCACATCAGACGCATAGCGCTGCAGTTGCTGCTGCATCACAACGGCTTTCATTTCGGCTCTGTTTTTCAGTTCCTCAACAGACTTTAGGCGTAACCGTAAAGCCCTAATTTCTGCTTTCAAATTGCCGTTCCTGAGGTCGCATCCAACTCTGACCTCGTCAGGCGACAGCGAAGAATCTACAATCAAGTTCGCCGTGTTCATTCCATCACACTCACTTCTACTCAACGCGTCGCAATTCAAGTCTGGCGACATGGAGTCAGGGCAAATTCCTTTATCAACGTCATTAGTATGCGACTCGACTTCTTCTAATTTCCTGCTAAGTTCTGCATTTATCGCTCTAAGCACAGTTAGTTCGCGGTATAGTTTTGAAGTCGACTCTGACAGAACGATCGCTTGCTTGTCAACATGGACAGCCCCGTCGACGTGATCAGACCCACAGGAATTCTGTTCATCAACTTGAGCGACATTCGTCGTTAGAATATCGCGGTCATCTTCTGGTATTCGGTCATCAGGCCGTCCTTCTGGAACCTCTGATACCCACGACGCACGAGGATTCATGACTTGGTTCATCGACTGCTTGCTAATTAGGTTGAACTTTCCTGATATTTCATTGGCTGGGCGCTTCGTGTTGGGCGCATCACGGAGTAAGCTTAACTTAGAAGGCACGCGCTGAGATACGTTCAAATTACCGTGTAGTTCGTTTATAAAGACTTCATTCACTTTAGGAAGATGCGGTGAGTTATTTGTGAGGCTGAGAACGCCATTTGCATATACGGACTCAGAAATATCTCTCCCTTTGCTGCAATTTTTTACAGCTCCCTGCTGGTCCCGTAGTTCAGGCCGGACTTCGATCAGAGCGTTTACCTGCTCTACAAGTTCTGCTTCACGGCTTATACGGCTTTCAACATCTTGAACAAGCAACTCTTTTGAACGTTGAAGATCTTCAATTTGTTTCTCTAATTCACAAATTCTTATGTCATTTTCTTTCGTATTTTTCAATGTTCTTTCGTAACAATCACGAATTTCATCGAGTTCTTTCCTACACTCTAACTCTCGAGTAGAAAGTTCTTCAGATTGCAACTCCGCATTACACTTGAGTTTCAAGAGGTCATCGACATCCTTGCACAACTGACGCTCCTTCTTCCGGAGCTGCTCAATCAACTTCGTTTGTTCTGCGCAGCGTGCGCAGCGCGTACGCTCATCGTGAAGCTGGCGATGCCCATCCGCTTCTACTGAACTCGATAGTTCATCGTTGACAGCTTGCAGAGTTGCTAACTGATTTGTAAGCTCAATCTCTCGATCTTTTAATCTTTTGATTTCTTCATATAAGTTTATTTTATCTAATTCGGATTCTTCTATATGAAACTGGGTTTGTTTTTCATCACTGAGTCGGAGCTGAGCCAACTCTTTGGCGAAATTGTCTTCAGGGCTTTGACATCGCGCCATTTCCTGCACAAATTCATCACAATCACTAGGCTCTTCCTCAGCGAAATCCTCGTTTTCGGCCTGACGACTTTGGCGTCCGTTGAACGCAAGTGACATCTCCACCCTAGCGCCTCGAAGCTCGCGTAGTTGGCCCACGAGTTCAGACTCGTGACTTCTTAGTCGTTCATTGTCATTCAAGAGCTCGCTGTTTTCCCTCTGAAGTTTCTCGAGCTCATTTGATAGGTCTCTCTCGAGCGCTTGGTATACCATGATCTCTTCTGATAGTTCATTTTTACACACTTCAAGCCTGCCGATCTGATGCTTAAGTTCCAACTCGTGGTTTCGGTGTCGATCAAGTTCTTCAGATATTTTATCCCGACAATTCTCAAGATGCTCAATCTGAGTTGTGAGTTCAGCCTCACGTTCCAGGTGCCGTTCAATATCGCGTGATAATTCGTCTTTGTTATTCTGCAGCCCTTCCATCAGATTAACAAGTTCATTATTACGGAGCTGATACCGCTCAATGTCGTCCGTCAGCTCAAAGATTCTGTTTTCAAGCTTTTCTACCTGATTTTGGCGATCATTCTCTAGGCTGTGATATTGGTCAACCTTTGTGGACATATCGTCCCTGTCTTGACGTAGCTCGTCTATTTGCTTCACAAGCTTTGCCTCGCGGTCTTCGTGCCGCTCTAATTTTATCGTTAGTTCTTCTACTTTATTTTGAAGGTCTTCAACTTTATTTTCGAGTTCAGTTTTCCGACGTTGCACATGTCGCATTTCTCTAATCAATTCATGATTTTTGTCCCGCAAACCTTCAATGAGATTCTTGTGATCCGTCTCGATTGTTTCGAGTTGCTCGACATTGGCGTTTATGTTACATTTTTCAAGCTCCCACTTTTCCATTTCCTTTTCGAACTCAGATTCTCGGTTTTTATGTTCCTCGATCAGCTTTGTGAGCTCGATGTTCCGTGTTTCAAGTCCGGCAACTTGTAACCTCAGCTGTTCTTCTGACTTTTTAAGCACATCCACAAGCTTCAAGTTTTCTCGGTAACTATTAACAACACTGGCAACTAGTCCTGGGAAGTCAAGAGGCTCATTTTGCTCATCCACGAGAACTTCAAGGGTAAGCTTGGCTTCTTGAAAACTCAGAAGCTTGTCCTTCAAGCCACTGAGTTCGAGTTCCGAACTGGCAACGGAGTTGTTCTCTGGGTTGGCCGTGAGTTCGACAAGACCTGCACTGATATTCTCTTCCTGCTGAGCTCTGCACAGTCTCTCACTGAGGTCCTCAACAATCGCATCTCTTTCCATCAGTTCGGTGGCATGCGCGCGTTTCCCATCATCAATGACCTTCTCCCAATCGGAATTTTTCGAGCTTTCGTCCTCTAGATTCTTCAGTTGCTTGACGAGTTCAAAATTGGCATTTTGCAGTCCCTTTACCTTTTCTTGTGATGTAATATTTTCTTTTTTAACCCGGGCTAAATCGCCCATTAACCGAGCGTTAGAATCTTCAACATTCTCGAGTTGTTTCTTAATATTATCAAGAGTAATGTTCAAATTCAAGACATCGTTTCTTAGGCTCAAATTTTCACTACAAAGATCGTCATGCGTTTCTTGCGTACGATTGGCAGCTTCGAGGCTCTCGATTAGTTTCTTGTTCTGGGCGCGTAGAGCGCACTCGCTGGTCGCCAGAACCTCAAGCTGACGTTCTATTTCATCCATCCTGGACTCAAGTATTTCTTTCTGCTTCAACATTTCATTCCTTTGGTCAACTGAATCAGAAAGCTTGCTCTGAAGTGAAAGGATTTCCTCGCTAAGATATGAATTTTCGTTGCGCAGTTGTTTTATCTCAAGGTTCAGTTCTTGCTTCTCGCCCAACAGAGACTCTGTTTGAGCATCAAAATCAATCTTCAATTTATTTAAACTTTGTAACTGATCAAAAAGTTGAAATTTACCAACTTCAAGCTGCTTTCTTTGTTCCGTCATCTGATTTACTTGTTCGGTCAGCTGCCCGTTGTTGCCTTCGAGCTGCTTCACTTGTTCGGTCAGCTGCCCGTTGTTGCCTTCGAGCAGCTTCACTTGTTCCGTCAGCTGCCCGTTGTTGCCTTCGAGCTGCTTCACTTGTTCCGTCAGCTGCCCGTTGTTGCCTTCGAGCTGCTTCACTTGTTCCGTCAGCTGCCCGTTGTTATATTCGAGTTGCCTGACTTGTTCCGTCATGTGCTTCACTTGTTCTGTCAACTGCTCGTTGGTAATGTTTTGCCTTTCTCTTCTTACTAGGTGTGCGTCGTGTGCACTGGATTGAGAATATTTTTCATCGGCCACAGCAGCATTTTTGGGGGTCTTTTCCAGCGCGGTAATTTTTTTACTGTCTCTTCCTATTTCCTCATTAGGAGTTTGCAAGAGGCGGACATGCAAACATTGTGCACCTTCTCCATGATTTTCCTGGGCTCGTTCAATCTTAGAAACTTTCCTCGAACTTTCTTCTAGGCTCTCTTCTGTTGTGTGCGGTTCAACAGAGCTCCGTTCTAACTTACTCATACGCAGTGTGTAATTTTGAGGCTCAACTCCATCAACATGTCTATGAATTTTACGATTCACAGACGGTGAACTCGAAGATTTTAGGCCATGTATGCAGTCTTGATGTTCCAATTCCTGAATTCTGGACTCGAGCTTCCTCTTGCAATCTTCACTTGCTTTAAGTTCGTGTTCTACCACGGTTAGGCGCTCCGAAAGTTTGCATGAACGTTCGGCAGTTTCTTCTAAGGCTCTCCATCTTTTATTCAGGCTAGGTGAATTTTCTACAATATCTAAAACAAGCTTTACTATGTCGTCATCGGATGAGTTAAGCAACAGATTTTGGTCAGCTTCATTGCCTACTGCTGATAGCATAAAATTTCTCAACTCCAAAAGCTTGGGTTTCAAACACCGTAGATGCGTCACCGACTGCTGAAGAACGCCGAAGCGTTCATAAAGTTTTAATACAGACGAGTTTTTAAACGGAATTCTACCGAAAGAAAAATTTTCTCCGATGCCGCTTGTGGGGTCGAGCGACTGCATCAACAGATCAATGTCACTAGATATGGAGTGAATTAGTTCAGAAGACTCCTCCGACCCAGCAAGTTCTGTTTGTTTCTCCAGTTGAGCCTGCGTTACTGACAACTCGTGCAGGACATTCCTCAGTCTCTCTCCCTGTTCTTTAAGATGAGATTTCAGACTGTAGATATGTTCTTCCTTAACACTTATCGTCTCTGATGCCACGATAAGCTTTTGACGCACCTCACTTAGTACGCTGGCAAGACCACACTGATGTGAGATACAAGTGGAATTTTTTTCCATGGAATTCGAAAACGAGTTGTTTATACTAGGCGTGTGTCCCTCAATACCATACGAACAGTTTCTGCTACCACTGTCGGCGTCAAGAACAACATCACCCGAAATATGTTTATTATGGTTCACCTGGGACAAAAGAGGCCCATTAGTGGGCAAAAAATGGCCAAAAGCTAGATCAGTGTCTCGCTGGGGAATTGCATCCAGCAATTTTTGCAATTCAAGGCACTTATTGTGGTACTGATCTCGCTCAAGCGTCGCACTCGTCAATTCTCTCAGTAACTCGTCAGACCGAGACTGACTTTTAAGCAATGAAGATACCAGGTTCAACAAACTCTCCGTCGCAACGTTGAAATGAGTTCGGAAAACATTTGCATCTATAGGCAGGACTTGATGACTCTGTAGAAGTTTGACTAGAGAAAGTTGCTCGTAAGACCAGTCTGTGTTTATATCAACTTTAGGTACAGTACCTTCAACAGCTCCGGCTACGGATAGAACGCTCTGAGAGACTTGAGAAGAGCAATCCTCGGACGGTTCGGTAATTCGAGGAATGGTTGCGTGCAGTGCATTGACATCCTCAACAGGCTCTACATCATCTGAATTTTTCACCTGAGATCTGAACGTTTCAACGGTTTGGTTATTAGACAACCCGTCCATGCAGTCCTGTGTCGACGTCAGCGGAATGTGGTCTTCTTTCAGGCCACAAGCTGCGTGAGCAATTTCGAGGTGTTCGGACATACCACAGGAGGTTTTCAGATCTAAACTATGTCTTTCTAGATGGATGTCCCGCATGTCAGCTTCTCTTTTGATCAGTTCTCGATTCAAATGAGTTATCATTGCATTTTTTTCATTAACTTGATTAACTAAATCATCCAAACGAATGTCTTTATCCATGACTAATTCTTGCATTTTGATGGACTCTTTCCTTGACTCAGACAGAAGCAATTCAAGCTGAGCAAGTTGATCGTTTTTTGCATCAAGTCTTCTCTTCATTTCTTGCAAGTCTAGAAGAGCCTGGTCAAGCCCCTCACGGTCTTTCTGATACAAAAAGTTTTCTGTATGAACAGTGGACGTCAAGTTTTGGGCTTCTTTGGCGATTGAGCTCTCATCGACTATATTTCTCGGGTCGAGGATGTCTAACTTGGTCCTAGTTACTAGCGAAGTGGAAAAACTTCGAGATTCACAAGCCCTTGTCCCCTCATTTTGCAACTGAGATGCGAGAGATTCAGCAAGTTCTCGGCGGGCGTCAAGCTCCGAGGCAGTTAAAAGCAGACGCTCCTTGGTGCTCAACAATTCTTTTTGAAGTTGAACTCGCGTCTTTTGACTATTTTCCAGCTCGTCACTAACCCACGCTTGCCATTGGTAGATACTTTCTAATTTACCAATAAGCTGCTCCCTCTCAGCAGCATGAGAAATTCTCTCATATTCATACACCTTGTTGACGTTTGCAAGTTTCTTATTCACAGTTAAAAGTTCAATCACTTCTTTAGTCTTGGCAGCAAGGTCATCAGAAAGCTCCTGGGTGCGTTTTTCATGTATCTGGCATTTGTTACACAAACCCAAGTTCTTCGCCTCAGAAGCTATTCGGCAGTCTGAATCCTTGTTCTCTTCTCCATCAAGTTGGGTTTCATTCGACAATTCAGGAAAACCAGACATGCTGCTCTTCAGATCATTATACTTGGAGAAGTAAAAATCCCTTTCATTTTGAACTTCAGATAAATATACTTGCAAGGCATGAAGTTCAACATTGGAGTGAATTTCTTGATTGTTTCTAAATTTTGATGTTCTATTAAAACGTTTCTTGGGAGCGCAGCTCTCAGAATCATGGATCTGAGCAACAGCTGTGAGGGAACTGGTCGATTGTCGGCACTCATCCACAATGCTTGGAGATCCACAGAAAAGCCGGTGTATCCGGGAATGCTCAAATTCATATACCCCGAGATCAGACACAGTGGAAATCTCAGATGCAGCTCTATGAGGAATGAAGTGACGCACAGTTGTCACTGGAGTTTGAAATTCAGAGGATTGCTGCTGAAAACCTAGACTGAAGGTACTTTTGTGTTCAGATACACAGGAATTGCTGCTGGAATTGTCCCATTGTCCCTTGAACAAGTCGGTTGCAGAAGCAGAACTGGTAGAACATTTAGAGTTATCACCAGCTAGAGTGTTTTTGCTAAACTTAGCATCAATATCGGATCTTTTAGTTCCTGATTGTCTCCTCTGAGTGTGTAGCTTTGAGAAAGCTGGAGGCAAATTGTCTTGAGGTGAGACTGTGGATGCATCTCCCTCGCTCTCAAGGTATGACATTTGCTCAGAAGAAGTACTCACGGCATGATGAGGATACCTGTAGACTTTCTTCCACTGATCAACAGGCCCATACTTGCTGATGCTCACAGGAACAGGGATCAGGAGGGGTTGACCAGCATCAAGAAATTCCAGGCTGCTGCATCCAGCCATGGAACTAGCCACAGAGCTTGCTCGACTAGAGGAAACTTCTGAAGTGAATGCACTAAACGAATCATCTACACACTGAGTGGAACCACTTCTGGAGCCATGGTTAAAGTTCTGATAATTAATGATGCTCTCACTTCCAATGCTAGAGAGAGAAGTTCTGGTGTTTGGGCTTTGGTTCCTACTGACTTGAGGCAAGTCCAGAGTGAGAACTTTACTCACACATGCAGGAGCACCCATAGGAACCTGCAATAACAAAATTATATGACAAATATAAGCAATATAAGCAATGTGTAGATCATTCTACAGCATAATTTTTGCTGATATGACAAAAATTTAGGTTAAATTAATTTCTTCCTTAACTTATTAAGTTAGATTAATCCTTGCCTTATCAGATAGACAGATTAATACAGAAAACAGACCTAACCGAATTTATTTCTTGGTTCCAGTTCACACAGTGATCTTATAGATTTCAAAATTCAATTCAAGCCAGTAAAATAGACAAAAAAATCATAACAGAGTTTAATTAAAATTAAGAGAGCACTACAAATTTCCACAATACCATTAACTGGAAATTGTTACCTCATGACTAGAGACAATGTCAGCAGAACTTGATAAAAGGGCTTTATTTGAAGCAAGATCCATCTTGCTGCCAAATTTTTGCAGCTCAGATTATATCATAGCTTTGTCGTAACTGCAAAAAAAGAATAGGTATAAATTATGGAAGAATCATGCATGGTCAAACTGTTATCATTTATGCAAGAGATGATACTAAAAGGGTGTGACAAGTCTAGCATGTCACAGGTCACATGAATTCCAAGTAGCGGCACATCTATTGCAATTCAAATTTTCTACTCATCAAACTAGTACATTTAGAGCTGATCCATCCTCAACAAAACATTACTGGTTATCAATCCTGCATAGCAAAAATGAAAATGTTTTGACTAAAAAAGTAAAAAAAAACCTAACCTGGCTGGACCTAACCTTAGTAGAAAGGTGTCAAGCAATGTAAAGAAGGGTTTTATACACACCTAACCCTAACTCTAACCCTAACCTAATGAGGTTGGAATTTTTTAGAATGTCCGGTACCGCCATGGGCTCATTTATGTGCCATTTTAATTGGGTTAAGTGAATTTACTATAAAAAAAGATTGTGAAAAACATACCTGAAACAGAAAGGAATGTTTTAGTGACTACCATCATATATTTTGGAGAAATAAATCATAGTTTAGGTCAATTACTTTTCATTCTATGAGGCCCGGTGCACAATTATATATATAGCATTCTATGTACAATTTTGTCTTTGTGACGACCAATGATGCACTAATTTTTTGATATGTGAAATTTTTTTTGCCAAGTGAGGTAAATGTAATCAATATTCTTTGTTTTTAATCCATTTTTTTCTTAACTGGAGCCTTTGCTTACTGAGGTTCTACTGTAAATGCGTTTTTGGGGGTGTCCCAAATAGCCCTAGGGGGGGGGTTGTCCCGAGTAGCCCCGCCGTGCAGAAACTGCCGCCATTTTTTTTGGAATGAGATAGGACAATTCCGTCAATTACATTTTCAAGCCAACACCTAGGTGCATCTTTTATGTAAGTAAAATTTTTCAATACGGCGAATAAATTTTTGGCTACAGACCTTAGCAGAAGTAACTTTTCAAATAGCATTTTTCACCATTTTTTCAGGAATTTTTCAAAGCTAGTAAATGTAGTATTTTTCAACTTCCTTTATACTACATAGATAGGAAAAATGTTGACGTTTATGCCACTATATTTAGTTTTGCAATATTCCAATTAGTTTTGCTACTATAACAGTTTTACGCCATGTCGGAGGACTGTCCCGAGTAGCCCCGCCCGTCCCGAGTAGCCCCACCCATAGTGGCAAAGCAGAGAGTTTTTTAGACTCTTCCTCAAGTTCATTTTTGAGTCCTATAAGTAGACCAGTAAAGTATCTTGGATACCAGAATTATCATACATAAGAAATCTGTTAAAATCTTGAGTAAATGAGGAAATTAGAAATGAACTGATTCTAAAAAATCACTGGTTTGCCACTATGGCCCCACCCGTCCCAAGAAACCCCGGTTGACGGTATACAATTTAATAAATTCATTTTAAGAATATTAAAAGAGTAAATGACAATCAATTTAGTGAAATGATAAGTAGGTACTAGGTAGTGCATCTTATCTTCTCTGATAATAATAATAATAATAAATATATTTTTGTAAATATCAAATTACCTTGCTCATACAAAAAAAACATACTTTTTCAATTAAATAAAATTCTGCAGGCTGTAGCACAGGCCACAGTAGCTGTAGGCTTAGCTAGGCATAATAGGTGATTATTAACTATCTTCAATCATTGGTACCAAATTGTAAACATAATCACAGACTTAAGTTTTGGCAGAAAATTTCAGTTAATATTTAACTTTTCCACTCTTGTAAATTGTAATCACTAATCACTGCTGAAGAATTAGTTCAATAGGAGTTGATGGGTATTGGGTAGTAGATTGTGCAATAATCAACATTCAACAATAATAACACACAATCAATAATAATTCACTATCTCATCAAATGAGAAGACTTCGAATTAATACACATAATGCATATAACATCATGCTAAGGCTAACAGCTTACAAGATGAAACGAGTACCTAGGTTACTGGGGCCGCCTGACGACCTGACGGTCCCGACCTGATGGCAGGCTGACCTTAACTAAGCAATGGAATTGGAAGCGAAAACTTCAATTAAACTTTTGAAACAGATTGGCTGGCCCTGTTTTATCAAAACCGTGAAAGGATTAGTTCATAACTTTTTTACAACTTATCTTGAATATAAACTTGTTTATACACTGAACATTAACAAGCACAGTGAGTTAGAGCACAAATTAACAGATATTCTCACTGAACTGCCAACTATAGTTGCGATTCCACGTCAACATTTAGTCGAGGTCAGCCACAGTCAGGCACTACGATAACAACATAGTGTGCGTGTTCGAAATGAAGATTTTCATGCTGAGTTCACGATCGCCAGAAGACCTCTGGCGACATAAATGTAAACTTCACATGCATGAGGATTTTCTGCATAATATTTGAAGACATAATAGTATTTTTTCCTTACAACATTTAAATATATACCAGTCGCCTTGAAATGATTCACAATCCTATGAAAATACCATCATTTGCCTCCTAAATTCGAAATGAGACATTGCTAATATTTTCCTAATTTTATCAAATTACCGTATTAATTATTGCGTATTCATTCCCATACAAGAGAAAAAGGCTATTATTGAACGCAAATTTATAAATTAATTATTAATTTTTGGAAGAAAAGTATTTCATGATTTGGAGTTATAGTCGTTGGAGGAAACGCGATGACTTATGTCACCAGACACCACAGTGCACACACCAATATTTGTCAGTTGACATTGGACGACGGTGATGAAAGGGTGTTGAAATGTTGATGTGACACATCTATGGGCAAAAACGAATATAATTTTTATTTCTAAGCAAAAAGCGATTCTACCATTATGTGGCAGCCAACTCACGTTCAAGTGACGGGTGAGTAGAATTAGTTGTCACAGTTTATGCAATTTCAGAAGATAACCGAAATCTGGAATAAACAATAGCCTAGAATACCGTTACGTCACTCTCCTTACGCTTACCTCATTATTTAGGTACCTAGGTAAGTGGACAAAAAATTTTTTACTTCGATCGTATTGAAAATTATGTATCTGAAAAGCGAAAAAAAAATCTAGAAAAATTCCATGTAAATTTAAGTGGAGTAAAAATATAAGTGAAAAAGCTACAAATTACCTATTTTCTTTAATCAATTATTATGTACCAAAAATGAACCACCCAATTTTCGGCATTTTTTCGAAGATTTATTTTTAAAAACTATCAGTTATAGGTTATTTGGTTTCCTTTCAAAGGTTCAATAACATCAAAGATGTTATTGGCTATCTGTTCTGACTAAAAACATTTTAGTTTAAACTTTGACTGTAGCCTCACTAGCCTGTAGGAGGGTCGTGCGTCGTGGTCGTGGGTCATGGTGGGTGCACTGGGTGGGGAGGGAAATGAGATTAGCTATGAGCGTGAGTGCGTGACACAGTGACTGATACTGATAGATATGAATAATGAATATGACAATGGCACTATAAGTTATACTGAGTATAACTATAAGTTCACCAAAACTACATGAGGCAGAATAAATTCTAGTTTGATAATAAATAGTAAATAAGTAATTAATAATAATAATTAATTGATTCAGTAGTTTTCAATGCAAAATGAAATTTATTTTTCCTTGTATGGATATGTTTTAAAGTTAAGTTATTGTTGGGTCACTTGGGTTATGTCTGTATGAAGTTTGCTAACTATTTTTCTATATAAAAAATTTGAAAAAAAAAATTTGTCTTTGCATGTATTTATATACCGTACGGTCCGTACCTACTTAGAAATGATTCATAAAACTATTAATTTTTCTATCAAGTGATATACTGTTCAAGTTTAATTCTTTTTGAGAGAATTAACACTCAAATTTAACAGGCCATTAATAATACCTCTGTATTTCAGTTCAACGAGCCAAAGGGCTTCTCATCAAAGGAAAAAATGGTTTGTAACAATATATTATTGCTATCACTCAGATAGGAAGATAAGATATAATTAATATTGAGAAGTATTAGTATTAATTAGTATTAATTTATATTAAAAAAATCAATGGATATATACATAATTTGTTCCTAATATATAAAATATCTACCTATATATCATTCTAACATTTTCCTTATAAATTTTCAAAGTTTTTCCAACCATATCTTATCTTATTTAGTATGAATCCATTGGAAATACTCATTTCTGTTCACAAACCAGTCCACATTTCTGCTAAAAATTATTATTTCAGTAAAAACCAATTAATATTAGAAACCAATTCCAGTGTTTTTATAATTGTTATTTATAGCTATAAAGTAAATACTAATCCATTTTTCAGATACCAATGATGCTCTGGTGATGATTGCTCTTGGAAAGGAAAGATTCCAGACATCAATAAAAGAAAAATCTAGTGACCCTGTTGAATGGCATGAAGAATGTGATCTGTGAGTATATAGGTACCATATACCTATACCCTTGATGAAATTTTACATTTTCTGTCTAATGGTAACAACATTAATTTATACATATCTGGGATGTAAACCCAGCTTTGAGACAAGAGGCTGGTATTGGTGATGTCTCTTTGTGATCCATCATAGTGGCAAACCAGAGCTTTTTTTGGAATCAGCTCATTTTTAATTCTACCAAAACTCAAGATTTCAACCAATTTCTTAAGTATGATAATGCTGGTATCCATGATATTGATACTTTGCTGGTCTACTTATAGGACTCAAAAATGAACTTGAGGGAGAGTCTAAAAAACTCTCTGCTTTGTCACTATGTCAGATCCATGATAACCCAATTTACAGATCATTATGTACATATAGCAATTCTTTAATTTATCTAGCATACCTACTCATTTCATGTACTTCTACTTGAAAATCTCTGGCTTATAATTTTGGTCTATTTTCATTTTGTCTCCAAGTGCTACCAGGTTAACATGACCTGGCTTGATAGTATTTTTTTAATTGTTCAGTGTTAGAAAAATATTGATCTAATGGCATTTATGGTAGGTACCGGTATAGTTGATATTGATTGGCATGTTCTCAGGTTCAAAAGTAGACAAGATATAAATGATATCAATGAATAGCTTATTGGCTAGCCAGAGCAATCAGAGCTTATTAATATTATGATAAACCTTCAAGTATATTTAAGCTTTGATACAGACTCTAATTTGATGAATTTTCTGCTTCTTATAACCTTTTTCTTTTTTGCTCAACTGTCATTTTTCTGTAAAATCCTTGCTACATTTGCCTCGAACTAACTCAATATTATGGTTTGACTTCCAAAGTTTTCATTTTCAAGTTTGCAAGATGAAATTTTTGTAAGAAATTTAGTCATTCAATTTCTTTCTGAACTCTAAATTTTTTGTCAAATTCAGTCTTGATGCTAGCATACCATCAAGAGCTCCTCATAATATGAGACTAGAATTGACGGATGCAAAAAACAATGTTAGAAGAGGCTAAAAATGTAATCAACTTCTGAGATGCCAATAAAAATTTGAGTGCATAAAGGAAATAGGTAATAAATATTAATCAGTTTTGTATCCTTGACAACTGACTAATTATTATATTGACATCTGTTGGAGTCAGATGAAGCAGAAAGTTGAATTATTTGCAAACATATCAAAAATGTGAACTGAGATTAGATAGATCCTGTAATATTAGTCAAGATTCTACAATTAACTTTCTTTTTACTCAGTGTTATCACCATTTTAGTTCCATAAATAAAGAACTTAATTCCAATAGAAATGTAAAATTTTAGAGTTAAGCTCCTCCATTGTGAGACTACACAAATAATGCTAATTTCTGTCCATGTTGCAACTTTCTTCATCAGTGAAATACCTGCTCAAGGCAACACTGCTGCAGTGCAGCTCACTGTCTTGCACCGCAATGGTCTGGGCCTGGATGAATTTCTTGGCCAAGTATCACTACCACTTTCAGACTTTGATGTTTATGAAAGACCAAGAACCAAGTAAGCTATGTTCTAATTAGAAATTTCTCTATTTCCAAATTACAATTTTGTAAATTTGTTATGAAGTTCATTGAAATGATTTTATTATTTACAATAATGTGTTATATGATGCAACTCTATTTACTACTTATATTTTTTATATTTTCTTGCATGCATTCAAAGTTATCAATAATTAATTTGCAATTACATAAATATTTATTGTTGACAAATATATACAGTATTCTTAGTGATTGTTTTGGAGCAAAATTGTTTACTGAAAGATATGCTATTTTAATGGTTATAATCTTTTGTGAAATTCTGGAAATATTGTGTCTTACAGAATCAAAACTGCACGTTGTTGTTTGATTTCAGATCTTATAAGCTGCAAGGCAAGCCTGATAAGAGTCGCAAGAAGGCCGAGAAGGAGCGGGGAGAGATTGAAGCTAAAATCGCCTTCATTGTAAAGTCGGGAGAATTTTTAGACGTTGCAAAGAAAGAGAAGCACAAGTCATCGCTGACATCACTGAAGCATCTGGGTGGCAGTCTCCTCAGTATTGGCAATAAGGACAAAAATAGCCTTAAAAAATTCACCAAGTCTGTCAGTGAGTTGAGGCATGGAGGACTCGATATCAGGCAGAGAATTCTATCAACTTTTTTCAATTAAGAGATAATGTGCCCCTTTAAGATGTCATTGTTATCATTACAGCTTGAATTTTAAAGTAAAAACTGAACAATATGATAGCAGAATCTACCAATGGAAAGTAATATTATCATTTTATTGCAATAAGCTTCAATTTATGCTTAGTTTTGATTTGTTAATTTGGCTTACTGGATTTAAGTTGCAGCTTCTTCAGCCTTTCTTTACTCGCAGGCAACCGCATGGACAAAATTGTGCCCAAAAAGAAGCGTTCCGGCAAGTCTGATGACTCACTGCCTCCCCAGCTGATGGCCAGTCGCCAGTGGTCTGGGGAGGCGGACCCCGGCGTCATATCTGATGAAGACGATGATGACGACTTGGCTGTGAGTGTTGCATGCACGGCTGTGTTCTGCTGTAAGGCGACCAGATGGCTGTGAGTGTTGCATGCATGGCTGTGTTCTGCTGTAAGGCGACCACTTGGCTGTGAGTGTTGCATGCATGGCTGTGTTCTGCTGTAAGGCGACCACTTGGCTGTGAGTGTTGCATGCATGGCTGTGTTCTGGTGTAAGGCGACCACTTGGCTGTGAGTGTTGCATGTATGCCTCTGAACTAATCTCTTGCCTACCGTTTAATTTCAACAAATCAGACCAACAGCTCATTTGTTTTTCAATCACCTTAATTGTGAATTCATTTATATGTATTTGAATTTTCTCCCTATCGTCGTAATATTTCCTACTAACTGATAGATATGTCACTGAAATCATTAATTCAGTTCTGAATCTAAGTCAAACGGTTGCGAGCAATAACTTTTGCTCGGAACTAAACATTGTTCATCACTAGGTATAATAGTGTGTGCTATGTGCATGGTGTGACCTGAGTGTTCTCAATGTTCCTAATTTTAAAACTTGTAGTGCCAGGCTGACTTCACACCCGCTGATCATGTATCAAAGTTTGTGATAAATGTACCTTTATAAATTGCATCAGTTTTTGGTGTTTTTAATTTGCGCGTTGTGCAACGTACACGTTGTGTACGTGATCGGATCTTATATGTCCTGTTAGTCACTAAGCCTTTATAATACGTGTGATCCACGTAACGTTGGAAGCATGCTTATTTTATCCAACATCCATTTTATGGCTACTTTCACTTCACGAGAAGTTTGTAGTCATAATTGCATGCGCGTGTTTGGATCTGGCATTTACTATTGTTATTTTGCACGAGTCTCAATAACGTGTTCGTGTGCACGCGTGTTGTCCAGTTCGATGACGTTAAAGTGGGCAGCACCGTGAACAGCAGCCCATACAGCACCGCGTCCCGCACCTCCAGCCGACATCTGCCCCGACTGCCTGGTGAGCCTAGCTACTTCTTACTGATTCACATGCAGTACTATGAAAATAGTTACGAGTTTGTAACTCCGTCATTCAATTACTGACCGATTTGCTAGCTAAACCTACCAATCAAAGACGAGAAATTGTTCGCTTAGTTTATTAATTGACCCAAATTGACCGCTGCGTTTACTTAAGTGAGTTTTGATTGTAGAACCTCGGACCTCTTGCCGGAAAACATTTAATCCGAATTATCTCTGGACGGTGCCAAGCTAGCTACCACAAGCTGCAATTGGCAGCAAGCTTTGATGGTTACTTGCTTGGAGCGCTCCACCCTCTGACTGCGGGACTTAGTTGTAGGTTCTGTTATTGTGTTAGCAGGACTGTGTCTCTCCCGTGCAGCTATCGATCTCTGCTCTCGTATGAACGATATTCTGCTCAAGTATCTTCCTTCCTGTTGCTCTACACTTGATACTCTTCTCGTCTGACCTGCTAGTGTCGCTCGCAATTTGAATGTTCTGTGACATTCTTGATGACAAATATATTGTTTTTACGGCAATTAGTTTCTTCTTGATTGCCATTAAATTCTGTTTATCATGTCATCTCTTGATGTTGATGCCATCCTATTCTGTGTGCACTATACCACCCCTTGTTGTTAGCGTCATGTACCGATGTTATCGCTTGATGTAGCGTATCTTGGATACAAGTGGACTGGAGGGCGACGAGCTGCGGTGAGTGTTCACGATCAAGTTTGGCGTGCCACATGCATGCAGCTTACAACCTTTTGCATTATCGTATTCTCGCCCAGTTCATTTACAGCGCTCTTATATATATATTCCACCATAATTTGTGGGGAATGTGTGTTTTGTCGTATTTTGTTACTGTTGTCTGAAAACGTCTCAAAGACGCATCTGACTTTTTTCGATAATAATGACTTTTTTCTACAAGTTTTCTCGTGTGAAATTTCAACAATCGCGATGCATGGTCGACCTTGCTGGTATCGTCACAGTATTTCACTCTAGAAAAAACTCATTCGCATTACCTAATATAAAATTCTAATTGGTTTATTGCACAGAAGTGAGAATGAATGCTCCTTTTATACGATTTTTAACTTTGAAAATCGGGACAATTTCCAGGGGTGTCAACGCGAGGTAATTTGAGTAAACAAAACTAGCGGCTTTTTCTCTGGTTGAAGCTAAGGCGATTTTGTACAGTAAAACTCTAGGCAATTTTCGGTGATCAAAACTCGAGGTAGTATTTAGTGATTAAAACACGAGCCAATTCCCTTTGTTGACGTCTCTATAAGTTCTGGTATTTATAACTTGAATTAGTTTTCAGTGAATAAAACTGAATGCAATTTGCAGACGAGGACAGCTTGGCGGGTGCGAGCTACAGCGGCATAGAGACGTCACCAGTGTCGCGGTACGGCGCCACGCGCCAAATGCAAGGTGGGTCTGGGACGCTGCTCTTGTTAGCGCATTTTCTCATTTATGGATAAAATGCACTATTGTGCTCGTCATGTCCGTCTGTCTGTCTGTCTGTCTGTCCGTGACCTCAAGTTTTTGTCGACGAGAAAATGCGCTCTCTATCACTCACTGCTGTGAGTATGTACTGAGTTATATTTTGTTCATTTGCGTGCTCCGGCTTGGGGGGTGATACTCTTATGCTAATGTTTATGGACTTCTTAGTTAATGGGTTGGGAATGAACTTAATGATGCCCCCGCCTACTTGCTCATACTTACTGATCGTGTCCGAATAAACTTGATGCTTCTCTACTGCAACTTATGAAGATAAATGGTTGTGAAAGAGTTGCTTGATCGGACGGAAGTATCGTTCACAAAGGTGGTTAGATTAATCACAAGGAAGTTAGTGGCTTAGGCTGGTCACAAGCAAGGCTCCAGACTATCTAGGTAGGAAGTTGAATGCTAATTAGGGACCTTGTTTGTGAGATGTAAACGCGATGGTCTCATTTGAAACTAGCACATTGGTTGGCATAAAAAATACGCTGTAAAAGCACATGAAAACATGCCGTAGTAATTGCTTGCGTGGAATAAATATATATACAACTATAATATATGCCTTCAGTTTCGGCGCCATTATTTCCTACGTATTGATAATTTTCTAAAGAAATAACTTTTTATTTCTTTATTCAGGTGGGTAGAAACTTGTTATTCTTTTGTCTAGTTTCACAAGCAATAGTTTTTGCGGAAACATTAGGCGAAATTTCTACGGTAGGCATCGGTTATTTTTTATATTATTCTTGGCACCGATGAAATTAGCGGACTTTTTTAACGGCACTTCTCTGAACAATGAGGCTAAGCAAGCGTTCTCGTGAGACCAAACAGCCATGCTACGGGAATGAAAAATATAACTGATGTTATTGTACACCCAATCCGCCTAATGTACATGGGCGGCCTAAATTGGGATCCATCCAAGCTACCAAACTATCAGGTACTCTAGAATTGCTCGAAACACACATTCTTGTCTAAATTATCGGCATAATGAGGAAATTAGCGTGAATAAATGTCTTGGAGTTAGTGAAGTTGCAGAGCAACTCACTATCGATGAATACTCACGGTTATCTCACATTATCATTTCTTGCATAGATAAATTATGCACTTGTTTTCTAAATATTCTATGTTGATAAATATAAGAAAGTACTTAATGTATTTTTAACCGTTTCATTCATGGTTTGTTGTAGGATTTCCAACTTGATTGCATTAAATTTTATCGTTGCGATTTCGTTGCGCTAGATATATCGTCTTGGTCGTCCGCTGTTTACTGTATAACCTCTTCTCGTTGTCATCCTAATATGCTTCTCGTTTTCATGGCCAGTTACGCGTCTAAGCGGTTCAAAACTGCGTCGTTTCGACTGTTTGTTTGACGTAATTCGTTTTTGTTTCCGTGTTTGTATGGAGTTTTTAACGTTCTTGATTACGAAGAATATTTCGTGTTGGAGGTGATTCTGATAATGGAATCGTTACGATCAATCAGATGCATTCAAAGAATTAAGCTCTCGGTTCACCCGTACAAGTACGTATCCCTCTCGAAAATGTTGCGCGATGTTTACCTATCGGCGTAGTATAATTCTAAATAATCCCGCATTAATAACGCAACTGCATGTGTGCCCATTGACCTGACGTTAACATGACCTAGCACAATAACATGACCAGCAATCTGACTTACCTGCTAATTAAGCCACGTGTTGCACTCGCAGTAATGCCACACGAGATGAAAGCTCTCGCGCGTTACCGTGTGTTGCTCGTGTGGCTGACTGCTTTACTAACCTCTACACGGTATTATGTTCATCCGACTGGTTTTTGTTGTGTGAATCGCGCTACCACTCGGTGCCACTCAACTACACTGGTGTATCTGCACGGGAAACAATGTTAAATCTGTTGGTTCACTATGCACTTTCCTTTGTCGGCTTCCCTGGCATTGCAGTTGAGCCAAATAACGTCATTTTCAATTTTTTTTGCTCCGAGTTGCTCAGTTGTGTTCGCATTGCATTGTTAACAAACCAACTAGTGTGACTGACTGTGAAGTGATCAACTTTTTATTGTAAATTTGACGCTAGAATATTGAAAGGTTTCATCTGGCTACGGGTGGCAACTGTAAGACAACTTGTTGAAAATGAAAGACCGAAAAGTGATGAAAGGTAAAATTTTCGATAAACATCCAGATGTGTCTTTGTATGGTATTGATTGTTGTAGGAATGTTTAAAGTCTTGTGTGCTCCTGCCTTATTTTTATTTCACCACCGTGTGGTGCTCAGCTTGACTACCTGTTTATGTACCTTGTCCTGACCGCCCATGCATAGACTAACTTACTACTACTTAAGGAGTTTTATGTCAGGCTGCAGCTGCTATTTGAATAAACTTTACTCTTTATGTCTTACTTCAATAAACATGAGAGGTTAGCTTTAGCTATATGTGTTAAAATGGTACTAACACTTATGCATTGAAACGATCGGGTGGAGCGCGACCTTGTAGCAAAATTGGAGTGCAGGTCGTGGGCTTTTTTCAATGAGGGGCTCAAAGAATGCAGGCGTTTGTGTGTCATGATGGCGCGGCGTTGCTGAATTATCACCAGCCTTTCTCGCACGCTTGGATTGTTCCTTCGTTTCAAGGGCGTGACTCTCATTCTAGCATTCGTTTCTTGGAGGCTTATTATTTACGTAATCAGCGTATCTGACGAAGACGTTCAGTGCACCATTGCAATGAGCGCTGACAAGAGTGGCTACTTTCTTGTACCCTGCAGATCAGGATGATAGGGAGGATGAGGTTGCGCAAAGCTCGTCTGCTGCCTCAGAGCAACAACAATTTAGCCCGCTTGCACCGACCGCTTCCTCCCCCACCGAGCCGTGCCCGCCGTCTCCCTTCACCCGCAACAGACTCCCCAACACGGCGCTGACTCGATCCAAACGCCGTCTTGTTGCTGCCAGACCTCCACCAGTGCAGGTCCCCACCGAGCCTCAAGTACCGGTGGCCGCCTCAGTGCAAGAAGAACCATCACCCCCTCCGTCTCCTGAACCTTATTCACTGAGCCTCAACTTTGCCAACCTCACGCCCATTGAGCTGCCGCCGCCCAAGCCGAAGCAAAGAAAAATCAGCGCCTATGATGACGTTGCTAATGCAACAAATGAGGATGTGCCCACTGCGCAGCCGCTGGCCTACAATCCCTTCGATGTCCAAACTACAGTGGCAAAGGAAGCGCCAAAAAGTGCAGTACTTCCGGCTAATCCATTTGACGAGGAACCTCCTAAGAATCCGTTTGATGAAGACGATGAAGAAACCAATAACCCGTTCACTGTGGCTGCTACTCCGAAGAACCCGTTCGAGGAGAATGAGACAGATGACCGATCCAACGCAGCAACTAAATCAGCTACAGAATCGCACGCCAGAGCAGCAGAAGGTCCTGCCGCTGTAAGCTCATCTCTTACATCAAATGCTCAATTTGAGCGCACATCTAATGGTCAATTTGAGCGCAATGTAAAGAAATCCCGGGCTCCTCCCATCCCAACGCAGCGCTCGACCAAGGTGGATCTCTCTAAGCGTCAGGAAGAAGCTCCAGAGATCAAAGATGATGTACAAGTCTCGGCCAGATCCGCTGAAGCAGCTCGCCGTCGCTCCAGCGTCCCAGCCCTCGCTGGCCTGCAGCGCCCTGATTCTTCCAACCCCTCGACGTTCGAGATCAGTCGCTCCAGCTCTGGAAGTGTCATTACAACCGCCCAGTCGGAGATGTTCCCGCGCATGGGCACTCCCTCTTACAGCAGTAAGCCTTACTTTGAACTGCACGACAGCCCCCCCTCCACCCACAGCGGTGTCAGTTCTCGGGGCGCTGCCAGTGGAGCCACGGGGTCCCTGTGCTCCATGAAGGACGACGGGGACGGTACTGGGGGAGGAGGTCTTGGTGGTCGCAGCGGTGATATGGTGCGCGGGGGCTCGGTTAAAGAGAAGCGCTCCTCGCAACCGTTAGAAGACGAGTGGGAGAGGAAACTCTGTGGCAAACGAAGCAGTGAGTAATGAATCTGTACAAACTGTAAATAACTTGACTTATATTCGGCTCATTTGATTTACTTTTGCCTTGCTTTCATTTAGAGCATCGAGTAGAGAATATGTTTTTACCGTCCTTTTATACTCTTTAATTCTCACATTGATCTTGACTTCACTTGCCATTCAACCGCACTCTTGGCTGCTGTCGGTTTTACCAGCCTATAGTGGCGGCCCACCAGACATCTGACGTTGAAACAACGTTGACTACAGATTGTTTCAACCAAATCTACTCGTGATCAACGTTTTTTCAACGTCATTTGCTTGTTATTGCGGTCTTTGTGTCTTAGTGAGCGTACATAGCCTGTGTCAGTGGCGCGCCTTTTTTGTTCAATGCTCTCCTTGTTCCTCTACGGTACCTTCCGTATATTTGAAATTCGCACAATCTAGTGTATTTTATTCCTTCTAGACGTAGGTCATTTTCAGCGTGCTTACGACCCGCTGTTGAATTAAGTTCGAGCTTTAAATTCATATAATTAAATATAATTTTTATGATTTTCGAAGTAATTTCTCCTCATTAGTTGCATCTTGTCAAAAAAGTCAACTATTCTGCTCACTCTGCTTGTAAAAATGTTACCTAGAGAAATCTCGCTTTGCAATTTTCTTGAACTGTCCATGCGAAGTCTAGATACCTATACATGTTCGTCATCTTGTAGGGCAGTAATGCCTCGTTCTTGTCCGATGCTTCGCTGTAATATTTGTTATGTGTTGTCACTCTTTTGCTGGTGTTGTGACCGCCGTCTCTCTACCAGAATTTTCTCCCGTTTATTGCATGCTAATGATAGCGTCAGACCTGAAATTATTTCCTAGCTTTTCCGTTCGGTTATTGCATGTGTTTTTTCGCGCTGTATCGCGGAAATTTTTCTTTCTTAGATTAGTGAATTTACAAATAAAATCAATTAGAAACATACCTACTAGGCCAAAATTACAGTTTATAGGACCATAATTTTTTTTTCTAAAAAGCAGACATTCTGTAAGAACAGAGTCACTATTAGTATTATTCCTCTGTCTCTAATTTACCATGAAAGTAACTGATGTGATCCCAATTCTTCATTCCAGAAGATAGGAGTTCCAGCAAGTCGTTCATTGAGAATTGGTTCAAGTGCTTGAACACGAAAGCCAATAATATGAGACGTAGTACGTTTTTAATCTTTCTTATGGGCTGTATATATCCGCATGTACCTTTGAACGCAAGGATGATGCGCTCTGCTACTTTGCCGTGGCCGCCCCCCTATTTTCTATAACGCATGTATTGTATAAAGCTGTTGTTATCGCTTACTCTTCTTCCATGAGCATTTTCTCGGGATGAGATATTTATGAAATTACGCAATGCTAGGCTATATCTTGGAGTAAAGTAACAAAGCCGTAAATCAAGCTATGAGAAGTATATTTATCAATTCATTTGTATTTGACTCCATCATCGTCCGTCACGGATTATTTTTTTCAACCTGCTTTTTTATGTTAAATCAGAAATATCTCCATGTGATACTAAACTGATTGTGTTGAAGCTCAAGATACAATAGTGCAGACACGAGGTATGGTTGTCTACTGCCGTAGATGAAGTTAATTACGACTGCTTATATTACGGGTTCTATCCTACTCCGTTGATGACCACGGAGAGCTCTTCTTCAAATCAGCCCCTAACATGCTGGGAATAGAGCAAGTGCGTGTGCCCAGCTTCGCTGTCACGTACGAGCGGCCTGGGATTGAATTTGAAAGAATCATGTATTTTAATAATCACGTTTACAATCACAACCCAAAAAAACATGTATTTCAGTCGCAACATAAACAATCATGTATTACGTAAACAACACAATAACTGGAGCAAAGCTGAGAGTAAACGATTGTATTTCAGCGGTGGGAAGCCTGGAGCGTCTGAGTGCAGCGGGGGCGGGCGGCGGTTCGTCACGATCGTCCCTGAACAACTCGTGCGCGTCGAGCCTGCACGACCTACAGCCGCAGCTCTCTCCTGCCGACCACCTCGCCGGTCCGTCCTCTGACTTGTCTAGCCTGGCGTTTAGTCTTCTTCATAACACTGTTCTTGTATATCTTATTATGATACGATCTTTTTTGTGACTGTTATCATCTTAATACGATTGTTCTCGTCGCGATTGTGATCGTAGTATGATTGTTCTTGTCGCAGTTATCATCATAAGAACTCAGGTCTGGACTCCGAAACGTAGAAACGCTGCCTCTGATACACTCTACTTTACATTTAGCATCTTTGCTACGTAAATTATTAGCTATATAGTTTTTTTGTGATTTTATGACACGGGGACACAACTGGTGATTATTATTGAAATGAAATAGTATTGAGGATAATTATTCAATACGTATTATGATAAATGAGAGCCCTGATCTAGCCGTGATTGCACCTTTCCTCCTCAGGTGGGGGGACGCGCTTCCCGGAGGTGAAGGCCCTCACGCTGGACCGCTCCGCCAAGCTCCCGACATTCGAGGACAGCAGCGAGACCGCCAAGAAGCAGAAGAGGAAGGGGCTCAAGAACAGGCTTTTCTCTAGAGGTCTGCATATCTTCGACCAGCTGCATTAATTAAATTTGTGTTGATTTTTGCATTATTAGATATTCAACTGTCCGAGATGACGTACAGATATATCTCTGTAAAATGAATGTAGTATAGGGGCGGATGATAGTCATGTAATTAGGCCATGAGCAGGGATGATTGATGATGGTCATTGCAGTGTTCTGTTATTGCGGTAATAAGTGTGATGTTTGTGAGTGCAGGATCGAACAGCCGCGTGGAGGAAGAAGGCAGGGTGGTGGAAGGTGGCAACGACAAACTGCCCAACGCGCCAGCCACCAACCCACACTCGCGGCTCTCGCAGGACATACACAACAAGTTTGCCGGCAAGAGTAGAGAAGTGAGTGCAGCAACCTGCTGATTGTGATGTTAGGTATCATCGCTGCCGTGGCAGTGAATTATGTCGGTAATAGGAAATGCGATCACGCGTGCTCTAAGTTGTGCTGGTAAGATGTTAAAATAACTTCCCATAGCAATATGGCTCAGACACCAACGGCCCTGCGTTTCCTTTGGTCTTTGTTCTCTAGCGAGTTTTACAGATTCTAATCAAATGAGATGGGAGGTAGCTTTTCAATGCAAATTATTTAATTCATATTAAGGTTATTACTATAGGTACACTAGTTTACCTGTTTATATAATTGAGGTGTGACTAGACTAAACCAGATAGTAGCTTAGAACAGCGTCAACACCTGACCTGTTGCCAAGCGACTCGGGAGATCACGGCTGCACATATCCTACTTGTATCACGTCTGCACTTAAACAGTTGCTCACTATTTAAATGATCTCTGATTCATCAGAATTTCATAGCCCTCTTTGTTTATATGAACTTAGATTCATCACCACTTTATTGCCCTCCATGTTTACTCTTTAATTCCAATGTGTGCACGGCAACTGAGCAGGACCTGATGGAGCAGATCCTGACGCTGCAGTCGCTGCTGGAGCGACAAGCTCGTCATGGCCGCGATCTGGAGGAGTACATCGACAACCTCCTGTCGCGTGTCATGGACGCCTCACCTCACCTGCTGCAGGCACCCGGCGCCACCCAGCCGTCCAACGCCATGCCTCAGAGACCAAAGTCAGTCTACTCTCGACAATTCCACTGAACTGAAAATGTGACTTATATATTCATTCAACAATCATTTGCCAGTCTGCTGCCATTATTTACGCTTCGAATGAGGCTTTAGAGAGTTCGGTTTAATTGTGTTGTTACCTTAATTATGAGCGATTGCATTCCATGACATGTTGATAAATGTATACAAGTCTTCAACCATACCGATACTTTGAGTTGTTATTTATGGCAAATATTTGCAAGTAACGCAGGTGGACCAAGCGTTTATTTTGTCAGATATCTGAAGCTATTTATACTAATTGAATGTTAAAGTTTGTAAAATGAATATTTCGCATTAAACCATTATTAGTTTAGTCATTCAGCTTTATTTTCTTTGTCCTTAGACTTGGCCGCCTGCTATTCAAAATTTAGTCGCACTCTGACCCTGCACTGCGGCTGTTTGGTAAATATTTCTCTGGTCTCACTGGCGTTGATTTTATGCTAACAATTGCTGGTCATCGCAGGTCTGGTTCTTGATATGTCCTGGTTCACGTCTCTACCTCTCGGTAAACATCATTCTCGTACCCTCGTCCCCATCTCTTTCTATCCCTCATATTCCTGTCTCTGATTCACCTCTTATTCACTCAGATGTATCAGTCCTCGTCCTTACCTGTGACTCACCCTGATACACCAGTACCTCCTTTATCTTGATTTCCTTTTCACAAATTTCGCTAAACTCTTTTACTGTTGGTGACTCTTTTGGTTATTTTCCAGCTTCATGCGTGTACTAAACTCAATGCAGGTCAGTTCTTCTCTGTACTCTTATTCTATTTCATCATCAGCCATTAACATCCAGAACTTTTTGCAGGTGCAAACGGTGAAGCCAAGTCGTCGGTGCTACTGCCAGCGTCACACGCGTTGGAGCCTTCCCGTTTATGGATTGCCTTGTCAAATGTTCACGTTGCTAAGTTTGTTGATTTTCATAAGTTTCTGGTTACCAGGGCTGGATTAAATAGGTTGTCCATCTTATCGCTTACTAATTACTGTTTTTTTGTGGTGAGGTCGTGATTCCAGATTGTAATTGACCAGCGCATTTGATGGCGATGAGAATCTGTTGTCGTGTCCTTGTGTATTCAGTATTGGATCATTTTTATCTAACTCCAGACGATTGATGTGTTAACCTGTTAACTTGTAGTTTGGTGTGGCCTTCCAGTTGAGTTTAATGCTTCTTAATGAAAAATCCCGTCCAGTTGTATATCCATGATGTTTTAAATCGTGCTAGTGAATACAACTTCAAAAAAACTTATTATTATCGGGTCCGTCCATTTTATTTTGCATTCGGTCTTTATATGAGGAATATGTGCTTCCGTTGTAGATATTTTATGAAGTCTTAGGCGATTGCTATAATCATTCCAATCAATGCCAAATACGAAAGCAATATTTTAATCAAACCATTCCACATAACCTATATGTTCGTTTAAAGTAGCCATTGATATAGGTAAGCAGAATATGTTAGTCTGTCGATTCCTCGCACAGTAATGCACCGTGACAGTGTCTTCTTTCTTACCCATCGTCAAGTAGTTCTTTCTCTCTTAATATTCCATTGGCTTTTGGATCTCAGATTTTTTGTCATGGTACCCAATTTAGCATGCCGCAGTAAGCGTGTTACCGCCTCCAAAAATGTTTTCAAGATTGAGTGTGCCGAAAATTTTAACATAGATTCTTGGTGGTAGATTGCTACTTTATTGTGTTTTTTATCATGATTCCCCCTCATTCGAAAGAATGGTCACAATTTTATAAACTTGATTCTCTACTACGCTCCTACACGAGTAATTTATCATGTGATATTTGCACGTAATCAACTTGCTTGTGATTATATACAAGAGCATTTCCCTCGGACATTATCTGAACGGAACTATTTACACTTGAAAGTAGTATATTCAAACCTTAAGGTAATTTCTGTTCTGTAAATTTGAAGATTCTGCTACTGTGGAAATCTGCCTTGACAAGAGTTTCAATGGCTTTCTTTTAAATGTGCTTGGCTGAAGCGAGCTTCTCAATCGGGCTAAGCTTTTAGTACTTCTTAAAGGATACCTTATGTACCGTACTGCAGAATATTCCTCATGTACTGCAGACAATTTCTTACGTACTGTACGGGACAGCAATTTTTTTTTACTTTTTCATTTTTTCAAGCATCGCTTCACTTTACTTCTCGTTCAGTTTTTCAGTTCTTAGAGAAAGTTTTTTTTCGTTCACTTCTTGAAACCTTCTGTCCATCTTTGCCTGTTCAGTGTTCATGGCCTGAATGATCCTCATTTAGAATGAGTTATGTTTATTCTTGCTATTTCGTACTGCACTGTTTGTTGACAAAGATTATTCGTGTAGCCGCTGGTGTTGTTAGTTAATGATATATAAGTCGGTAAAAGGTGCATGTGTCTGGCGACTCGAATATTTATCAAATTTCTCTAATCTTTGATTAATATTGGGGAATTCTATGCCGCTTTCTTTATTTATTAAAGAGTTTAATATTTATTTTTACTTGGCCGTTAGATTGGCTATACATTATGTGATTTTAATATACATTCCAGTCTTACATTTATAACATACTGAGCTTCCCTAAACGTAACCTCGTAGTCTCAACCAATTATCGGTAATTGAAAAAGATCCTTCCAGTGAATTGTTGACTTACTGTAATTTTATTAAACATTTAATTGTTGACTTCATGTTTGTATTAACCTAACTAACGCTGGCGTCGCTTCCATCGCAATTTGGAGTAAATCAATGAGCATACGTGTACCGATTAGACTTGTTTTTGTTTCGTTTGTAAAGATGTTGTATGCTGTAGGAGTGTAGGTGATATTCCGGTAGGTTTTTGTTAAATATCACGAAAATCTGACGCATTGAACAAAATTTCCAGTAAATTTCAACTTGACTGCACGGGAGCATTGCTCGTCGCGGCAATGCTAAGGGACTGACCTCCCCTCACTCCCGAAGTCTTTCATAACCTATCAACCCTTTCATAACCACTAGGGGGATTGTTCTTGAGCGCCCCACCGCTGAGCTCGCGGTGTCTGACTGCAGATCTCAGTTGTGGGGTTTATTATGTAGGTAATTTCCTTACATTTCCCTTTTCTGTCTCTCGTGCGGGCGGTCGACGTCCCGTGTAAGCGACCTCTTGTTCGAGTGTCTTCGTTTCTGTTACTTTTCACCTGTCCCTCCTTGTTACTTCGTCTCTGAAATGCTAACGCTGCTTCTTTCGAGCCAGCTTCAGCGGGCTGGACAATTGAGACCTTCCACCCCTTGTGGGTAATGAAAAATTTTTCATTAGAGAAACTTTTGATAATTGAGACTTTCCACCTCTTTGGTGATGTTCATCTTGACTTTCGGTGCGAGATAGCTAAATAGCTGAAGCGCTAGTAAACATGTGGCCACTTAACTAACTAACCTCTTCATAACCCTCTTAATCCTCCTCGTTACCCTCACAACCCTCTTTATATTGCTCACAACCCTCTCCATCTAACAAATCGCCTGGCCTCGGCGTTCCCTTCCTTCACAAGCTTGTAGTATAGCATTCAAGTCACCAGCTTTGAACATTATGAAAAAAGCGAAATAAGAAAAGTGCAAAATTAATATTTTTTTAATTCAATAATAATCACAATCGTGAATGTTTTTCAAATTTCGCAAGTATTCTCCATGATGATGTTTCACCTCCTTGTGGGAGTCTCTGCGATCGAATCTGGATTTTCGGCGTTTCTCCTCTACCATTAATGTACCTATCGAAATTGGTGCCATTTTTAATGCCCAGACACTAAAAATTTCCTCCTCCCTCAACTTACTTTTAGCGCTTGGCGACGGACCATTTTATTTTGAACCTCGAACGCTGATATTTTTGTTATTTTATTTTGAACCTCGAACGTTGATATTTTTGTTATTTTATTTTGAACCTCGAACATTAATATTTTTGTTAGTTAATAATGGTAATTTGAATGCCGTGATCCGCGATGGTTCAGGCTGGTGAGCAAAGTCCCAGGTTCGAGTGGCTGGAGGCTGCCGGCATTTCTCACGAGCAGGTCAGTCGTTATTTGGCCAGATTTGGAAAAAGTGTTTCATTTTAAGTCTGGAATAGTACGTGGTTGAGATCTTGAATTTTTTTCTTTGCAGCTGATTAATTGCCTATTAATATAACATACGTAACTAGAGTAGCCATGATTAAACATTTTTCGTACGCTTTATGATCATAGCCGATTAGTTCGTGAAATAATATTTTAACTGGAGGCAATTAGGTACATTGTTGAGGGGAAGCTGTGCAACACATAACTAGCTAGCCATCGTAATGATCGTAAAAGTTGAAGTCTTAAAAAGGATCCGAAGTGTGACTAAAATGACTAACATTCATTTGAGTGAAAATATCTAGTTGCTCAGAAATTGCAATTGAAATAATTTACAGTAACCACTGGCCGAATTCTAAGTTATTTATGAACAAGTAAATATTGCTCGACTGAGCCCAGCCGTTGACGCAGCTACACGTTGGTTGAAGTAGCAGGCCACACGAAGGTTGTAAGTTTCTCACGTAGACGAAGTACACGAATAAGAAGCTAGCGTGAAGCATTTTACTGGTGACGGACACGCTAGAACTTGATTTGATCCAAAGTTCACCACAAAGTTACAGTCTCCTGCCACGCTGGTCTGAGATTCGTAAGGCCACTTAGAGTCTAGACTATGGCTGCATCATTGAGGCTGTTCCTCCGGAATCACCAGCCAGTAGCGGCACCCGTCCATTGTCATCGACAGGGGCGACTTTGTTACGAGAACTTGTTTAGGAATCAGTGCTGGACAGCAGCGCCGGTGCTGGACCTAGGGGCTTGTATTCCCAGACCATCACACGGTGACCGCGTCCAGCATCACCCGTTCTGGCGGCTCAAGCGAAAGTGACCTGATGAAAGCTTACGTTCAACTTTAGCTTCGAGTAATGCTTTACGAACAGAAGATACGCGACCAACGTTTTGCAAAAAGCCGGAACGCTATAAAATATAGGTAGTCTATTTAATGCCATAGACATGTTTTGAAACAACTACTTGCAAGATTCAGAGGGATAGATACGCTGCACCAAAGGTGGGCAGTAGCGCGCTACATTTAAGGCAATGTAGCGGTAGCGGTAGCGTCCGCTACATATTCAAGTAGCGATACAAGGTTTTGCCGCTACTGCGTTACCGCTCCATTTTTATATAAAGCCTTTAGATTTTAATTAATAGTATTAAATATTATTTAAAAACCAGCATGATACATTCATAATTTAAATTACAGAATAAAACTGTACGAAAGATTTCGGTATAATGTTGTCAACCTCAGCCTGTTACTAGTGTCAACATGTTAGTTGCTACTTATTAAGTTGTTACCAGTTCCCACTTACAGGTATTTTTCATGTTTCAGTTTGCTTAGTTATTTTTACGTTTCACCTTCCCTACATGGATCTACCAGTCTCAAAAATAATCAACATATATATACAATTAAAAGACTTATTTTTTATAAGTAAATGTGGGTAATTTTTTAGATTGGTAGATTAAAGTACACATCCATGTTGGGAAGGTAAAACATAAAAATAACTAACTTTTATTTACTGTATCTAACCCGTACTAGTTCGGTTAGGTTAATTGCAATAAAGTTGCAATAATTTTACTCTAGCGGTAGCGGTAAATTTTACTCTAGCGGTAGCGGTAGCGGTAGCGCCGCTACATTTCAAAGTAGCGCTGCCCAGCTCTGCGCTGCACGTAGATTGTTCTCCGTCGTTTATACCACGTTAGCCGCAGCGCAGCAAAGAAACCATTGTTGACCTGAGCTTAACACGAAAATCGTTATACGATTACATGAAATTTATTTGCATTGAGGTTTCTTCCTCCTAAATGTGAAATAATTTCGTGAAAAATCTTTTTAGATATACATAAAAAAGCAGTGTTTAACTAATAAATGGTTGTGATGAGTTGATGTTCGATTATGTTAATAAGAATTAGTTTTTATATTTTTTTCGTTCGTTCAGCTTGCTCGTGAGTGTGTGGAGCAGTTGTGTTACGGAGGACAGGATGAAACTCTGGGGGGCAGTTTCGCCCCCCTCCCGCCCCCTCAAGAGGAGTCACAACGATTGCTCGAGTGCCGCAAGTTCCTCCAAAATGTTGCTTGTCGCATCATCGAGAACAAACTCACGCTGGAGCAGGTACGTAGGCTTATAGTTTCATATGCTGGTATACAATTTCTACGCCCAATTTTCGAAGATAACGTTAACCTCATAATTGACTACTTGCAATTTGTTACCAATTATTGAAAAAGTTAAACACTTTGCTTATGGTTATAATAACCGTCGGTAATGCTATTCGTAAATACAGGTCTGGGACCGAGAGTCCCGTCTACACACAAATAACTAAAGCCCTATAATCAATATTAACGCCACCATGATCGTGCTGCTGTGCAGTGCACGGCGCTGGTGCAGGGGTCGGGGTTCACAGGAGGGTCGGCTCTGTACGCGGCGACCAGGGAGCGTCAGGCCGCCGTGCGCGAGGTGCTCGTGCGTCGCGCGCTGGCGCCTCTGCCCTGCCTGCTGGACTTTGACTGGAACGTCAAGGTATTGCTTTACTGTCAGTTACTGCGTTACTGTCAGTTACTGCGTTACTGTCAGTTACTGCGTTACTGTCAGTTACTGCGTTACTGTCAGTTACTGCGTTAGTATCATTAGTACTATCAGTTACTCCCGCTTTTATGATGGATCTACTTCTTGTCGGCAAATATGGCCGAAGTTTATCCCGATTGCACTGTCAGATGAGCAGCTCTCCAGCTCCCAGTAAGCAAGGGACCAGGAAAAATCATCTATACTTTTAACTTTGATTCTTCAAAAAATTAGTTGCAGCTTCCAAAGAAGCAAATTGAGAATTATCGCACCAATTACTCCCAACTCATTATGTATAATTTCGATGTAAGACGATTTTCAGGCGAGACTTAGTTACCTCTACACTTAGTTAATCTCAAGAATGAGCGTAGACTTCACAAAAAATCGCATGAAATAGGTTGTTTACAGTTTATAGGTTGTCACGAACACAGGTTGTTTACATTTCATTTTTTACAACACTTCTCTTTAACTTCACTTCTTGTTGTTTGTCTGCTACAAATCTTATAATCGAAATTTAATATACTTCTACGTATCCTATCGATCTGAAATTTTGCACACTTGTGTAAAGTTGGAGACAATACATGAATCAAATATCAAAATAAATGATTTTAAATTAAAAAAAAAAGTTTCAATATTAAAAAAATTTAAAAAGTAATTTTGTCAGCTACAAATCTTATAACTGATATTTGACAAACTTTTGCCTGTCTAATTGATTTGAAATTTCGCACACTTGTGTGAAGTTAGAGGCAATGCATGAATCAATTAAAAGGATATATAATTGTGAAAAAAATTATATATTAAAAAAAATTGATATATTAAAAAATTTAAAAATTAATTTTTTTATATTCGAAAATTAAATGAGAAATTCATTGTACATCTGTAAGATTGGAGACACTGGATTCTTTGGAAGTGTTATCTTTAAAAAGTAATTCTTATGGTAATTCATTTAATATCTTTATCAAAAGTATATTCTAACTTTCTATCACTGTAAACGTGATGTGACAGCTCGCGGTGGCAAGCAGCAGCGTGGCAACACTGCAGGAGCCGCTCCTGAACCTCGTCCTGCGCACGACCTCATCCTCTACAGGACCTCCTACAGGAACTACATCCCATCCTTCGACAACGTCCTCCTCAAATGCAAGTGAATTTCCCTCATCTGCAGGAAATTCTTGTAATCTCGGCGCCGGCGAGAATATTTTTGCAGAGCTCAGTCTGGAGCAGGTTGAGGAGCTGATAGCTGCACTCAAAAACGTCCAGTGCAAGATGGTAAAATGTACCTAAATTAACCCATGGCAAGACCGAAGTCGTCATGGTTCGGTGTTAGGTGTACGGTGCCTATTACATTTGTAAAACATTTTTTATGTTTTTTACCAAAGAACTCGATCTATTCTATTATTCACGATTTTTTTCAAAAATACTAGGGAGATATTTAACGATTTCTACAGGCAAATCAATGAAGATGATTTAGCAATTCAAGTCCTATTCATACTTGTCTACCTTACTGATGCCATTATACAATGAGAATATCATCCACATTTGTTGAGTACAACGCGTAAATAGTTGATTAGAATCAATTTTTGGCAGCCACGTGAATTTTATGTTGTTTTGAGCTTCTAGCCCCGCATATACATCATTTCCTTCATATAGACTATTATTTATTCTTGCGTAATATAATGTTATTATCGTGTGTTTCTTCAAACATTGTAATATAGTACATATATTCTCATATTGTCGTGTTACTGGCCGCGTTCTGCACTTGCCTGTCAAACTTTATCACCTTGGTGAAAATTTTCCGATCTCGATTAGAAAATCGATTATCTTGACATCGATGAGTGATCTTGGTGTTCGATTTAGATTATTCCAGTATATTCAATGGTTAAGTTATGCCGATCAGTGCAGGTATACAATTTCGATGCACGAGTATATTCGAATTGTTTTAATCATTATATGCAATCAAATTTGATGATGAATCGTCTTGGTGTGCAGTGATCACTAACATTGCAATTGCGTTTTCAGCCATGACGATTAAGCCAGCCTCCTGTCCAATAGACTTCTCATTTTTTGGATCAATTTTACTTGTTTTTACCTGTAAGTTCTATCATTAAATGAAAGCATTATTAACAAGTTCCTGATTTAATTTTAATGTTCTACTCGCCTTAAACATTAAGGCAGATCTTCAATCTTCAATGCGGATGCGACCACTGAAATGGCCAAGAAATTTGTCTGTGTTAGCTTCAATTATTAGTGGCAATTCGCTTATGGTCGACGATCAACGAGAAAAATATGGTAGATCTGAGTTCAGAAATAGTATGTTCGTCTCTACCCTCATTAAAATTAATGGGGCATATTGTCTAAATATTGACACAATTTCTTGCTCACATGAACATAGAGCGCATGCGGCGGTGATACGCAGCTTTGCCGCTCCTAACTGGCTCATGATGATCAATGCGTTTTGATCTGTGGAGAAATATAGGTGACTACAGAACCTACGTTCTGTAGTCAGTGAACGTAGTCAGTGAACAGTGAAAATTTCTTACCTGGTGTAGCCTCGATTTTCTTCTAACGTTTATCTTTTTCGAGCTCAATCTCTCGGGTAATGTGAACAATTGTTCCGCATAGCTTGAAAAATTCACCTTGAATACGAACTTCAAATTCAGTTATAAAAATCAACCGATCCATTTTGAACATAATCAAGAATCCCACGAACAAAATTGATACATTATTTTATGTTAAGGTCATTCACGAGGGCAAAAATACATCTCTTTTGGAACCAAGTATCTCTCATTTCTCTTGAGTGTATATTCGTTTTCTAGGACGCGGGGACCTTATTTGATTTAATTAAGAGAACCTAAAGACTCGAGTCTCGTCCACTCAAGCATTTCTCGCTGAATCAATTAAGTAATTGTGTTCAGTAATAAATGTGAGCGCTAGGCCCTGATCCGTTGTATATATCGTGACGTTCAGTCTAACTTTTATTAGATTATTTCATAATAGGAAATGAAGCCAAGATGCAAGAAACACTGCAATATCGAAATTGTATTCTTTATTATATTCTTTTACATTTCTAATAAAGAAACCGCTCTAAAAATACAACAAAATATTTCACGCTGTTGAAGGTTAGAGCAAAACACATCGCTGGTGTTTAGTACTCCAAGGGCCATACTTTCAAAACTCGCTAAGTTAACGCAAGTACTTCCGCTCTATTTTCTTGATAATGATTGGTGGATTTTGCTTGAAAAGCCGTCAATGATTGGCTGATGAACTTACGATCTCTTAACTTTTTTTTTTTTGAAGGTATGACCCCCCAAGTGTGCTTCTCAGTCCGCACACTTTCTACGTTTTGTCACGTATTCTGTTATAAATACAAATAAATTGACTTGAATTTTATTCCCACTGTTATTTAATATGCGATTAGTTCATGCCTATTTGTTTCAGTGATTTATGTTGAGGATAAGTCAGATCTAGTCTAGTCATATAATCTGTTTTTTGTCCTACGGTCCTGAAGGAGGCGACAGTAATTTTTATATCTTGGTCTCCCAGTAAATAGAGTAACAGAGTTAATTTTTTTATATCCTCAGAGCTCTAAGTTATTCTACGGCCTAATTATGTAATGTAAAAACAGTGACTAATATCTCTAATGATAATAATAATTGGGTGATCCGCTATCCTTGCGACTATTGTCACTGAGAATTTGAATGAAACTTGCAGATATGAGACGGAACAACTGAACTAAATGTTGCCTGGAACGTCAAAACATCGTTTGATCTACTACATATTCAGTCTCTTTTAATCTCATATGAGGCATTTTAACCCTTACCATCGATATTTAATGTAAATGAACCAAATTGCTGATGAAATTAGGTTTCTTATCTGGACTCGGCCCATCATACAGAATGAAGGATAGCATCGTAATGCCACTTTCAATACAAGCAATTCGTTCTAAATTTCTAAATTTTCTCCTTCGAACGTCCTTCTAAGTTCGTACTCCCTCTGGTGTTTAGATGAAGCTCAATTTTTAATGTACACATGAGGACACAAAACTTTGTTCCTCTGAAATATTTGTTAGATTGTTCTTAAATTTGAAATTAATTTTTACTATCACTTTACTAGTGGTCGTTATGTTTATTCTGAAACTGGCGTTAGCCACCAAATTACAATACAAAAAAATTAATTTATTAAAGCCACTCAAACCTAACCCTCCTATCTGCGCTATATTCTACATGCTCTTATTAATGAATTATTCGATGGTCATGAGCCTTCTTTCGTCCCGAGGCAGCTTTCGATAAGCTATCAAATGTTGCGGCCACCAACCCCACAAAGGTTTGCTAGGTACTATTATGACCCAACGCTTGCTCTTACGCAGCACATTTATCACCGTGAGTTAACTCCGTCAATTTTAATAACCCAAGAAATCTTTTATTGTCCCGTAGATCGTGCCCAACTTCGCCGAGCCGTCTTTTCCCAAATCTTTTAATAGGTCGTAGTGCAATGGGCATTCCGGACACCATCACGGACTCGAGGCAAATTTGGCTTCCGATGAATTTTTGTTGGCAAATGAAGAGAGACTGTGGAGGCGTCTGAGTGAAGTCACGCTCAATCATGTCAAGATACATGGCGTGCCTTTGGCTTGAGACCACTAATATATCGGATACTTCTTCTCTGGAACCCAGTGGATTTATATGCAGCATCCGAAATTGTTGATGTTCTCTCTCTCTCTCTTATTTGACGATACTCTAGTATGAATTTAATCAAATGTTAACCTTCCCTACAATTTAACTCGTTAATGCGCAGATCCGACGTCGACTAAAAATATTGAATTTTTTGCGAGAACGATGCATTGCATGATTTTTTCGGTCATTGTTATTGATCTGCACTCAAGCTCCAGAGCCATGAAGTATTTCTTAATTTAATTCCTTGTGGAAATAAACTTTGCTGGAAAATTTTGTGCGCCCACATAAATTTCTGCCTCTCCAACTCCTCTTGGATTACTGCCTGCTACACGCAGGCATCCGTATCGGTTTGCTAAAACACAGGTAACTAATCACACACAAACTTGCACCAAATGCACGCGCACAACACTGACACTAAACTATTTGACGACATCGAGTTATTTGGGACTTGAATCAACATGTTTTAGTAAAGCACTTGACTTCATAAGTATCACTCTAGGTCTGGGCTATCGTATTGCTCTCGCTGAATTGGATATCCATTTATATTTATATTAGTGTGTTTATAGCAGACATTTGTGTCGTAGGTTGGCCAAACAATTACTCGATGATTTGGTAATTCAATCGTATTCTTGCCTTAAATTATCTTTGGTTGTGCGGGAAAATCGACATAATACTGTTTTGCATGACACGTGCAGCACCTTGGGTAAATTGATCCATGAAATTTATACCCACGAACACCACAAAGAACGGAGAAAATATAACTTAAATAGCGAGCGCATCATGACAGAGTGAACACCCGGTCGAAGTAACATAATAAATTATTTTAGTCTCCCTTCCCTCGACAGCCGACCGACATCTTATAAACAAAGTTTTCATCTATTGGCTATCTGAAAATTATTTACTGACTCGGCTACATGATAAAGGTTAACTAAATCACAAAACTAAAGTACGATTGTACTCTAAAGTGCCTAAATTGTAGCGTAAAACCTGGGGTGCAAGGCTATATACGTATTGATGGTGAGGGTTGCATCCTTTGTTAAGCTATACTCGAGGGCTGCTTATGCCGAGATGAGACTTTGAGAGTATCAAACGCTGAAATTGAATCAAATATCGAAATCAAATATTTTTACCGGGAGCTAAGGCTTTTCAGTAAAGTGATGACTTACTGCTCATTTAGTGAAAAATTGGATTATTGTGAAAGCTACATGCAGCGCAACTTTCAAACCTTGAATCCTACTGCAATGTTGTAAAATTTCTATTGAGGAAGATTTAATATCTGCCGTTCAAAATACTTTTTTTCCCGAAAGGAAAAATTATAGTACAATTACTGTATAAATATTGGTCGTTTTAATCCATTTGCCGACAACAGAACGTTCTCGATTGCATTTCTCGCACCATCAAAGCGTAGATTCACCTTCCAACTCACTGCCTTCTCAGCCTCAAACATCTCGCTTTCAGCACAGTCGCCACCATCTATCCACCGAGGCACGTACAAAGCTTCGTTCAACCATTCAACGAGGCACGCACACAGTTTCGTTCATCCATTCACCGAGGCACGCGCAAAGTTTCGTTCATTCATTATCCGAGGCACGCATACAGTTTCGTTCATCCATTCACCGAGGCCCGCACAAAGTTTCGTTCATCCATTCTCCGAGGCACGCATACAGTTTCGTTCATCCATTCACCGAGGCACGCACAAAGTTTCGTTCATCCATTCATCGAGGCACGCACAAAGTTTCGTTCATCCATTCTCCGCGGCACGCATACTGTTTCGTTCATTCATTCATCGAGGCACGCATACAATTTCGTTCATCCACTCACCGAGGCCCGTACCCAGTTTCGTTTATCCATTCACCGAGGCACGCTCACAGCTTTGTTCTAATCATTCACCGAGGCACGCACACAGCTTTGTTCTAATCATTCACCGAGGCACGCACACAGCTTTGTTCTAATCATTCACCGAGGCACGCACACAGCTTTGTTCTAATCGTTCACCGAGGCACACACATTGTCTCTATTTAACTCGTCTCTCTTGACTCAGCCCGCTACGTGCCTGTTACTTGATGGGTGCACACGCCTGCTTTATACAGTAGTGGGCATATTTACGTAATATGCGAATGACAAAATTGATTGTCGCGCACTCTCCTCTATGAGCCCCCTGAGGAAGAGTCTTGGGAGTCGTGTGGGAGGCAGAGATGAGGAAGCATCTGTGTCAACGCTGGGTGAAGGTTGGGAGGGATGACTGGAAGAGCGGGTGAAGGAGGCCTCCTTGGTGAAGGGGACGGGTGAAATGCAGCACCAGATAAATGAGCTGGAGACGATGCCGTGTGAGATCTGGGCGACGAATGAGACGACGACACAGCGTAGCCAGCAGTAGGTACCGCAAAAGACGGTCCTCCAGTACTTGCTAAGCCTGATGATGATAACGTGACTCCTAAACAAGCGTACATCGGCGTAGTGCTCATCGCCGGTGGTGTTGCCGTATGTTTGGATATATTAGCGACAACGGCAGGAGGCACTCCTGTGGCACTGTAATACTGTCCAAGCAGGTTATGCCCAATGCCAGATGAATATCCAGCCGGCATGACGCCGCTCACTCCAGACATGAGGGCAGCATGCGACTCGATTCCTGTTGACATTGTCCCCGTCGAGACGAGGTTCGAAGTTCCCAGGAATGTGTTTCCGAATTCCGATGAGAGGCCACCAAGGCCCAAGCCAGAGGTGCCTGCCATTGACGATGCGGCCATAAGGTTGGAAGCTCCTCCGGCGGTCATGACTTTGATGGCATGTGCCATTTCTGAGGGAATGTTCAATGTTGTGGGAGGAGAGGGCTTACCAGTCAATTTCAAGTGAAGAGTGGCATTGGGGACCAGCCCAAGCTCTGCCATTGTCGCAGAGTTCTGATCCAAAACCTGCAAGATGATAGTCGAAGACTGTGTTTATCTTTCATACGGTTACCACTCGTGGCATCAGACATATTATGGTGAAAATTTTAGCCTATAATATCTTCCTGTCTCTACTCTACTCTATTTTTCCTCTTAAATCAGTACGAAACAATAATAAATATTTATACCAGATAAAATTCGTAATTTTCTACAAAATATTGCAAGAAAGAATGAACCGTTGATATTTAATTTCATAAATCTACTCATTGCATGTACTTGTTTTTCAACGTTTGTTTGGTTATCAATAGTTTGAGGAGACTCGCCTGGTATGGAAAGGTGCGAACTACTTCGAAGTTGTCATCCCCGTCGCGGTACGAGCGAAGATAGGTTCTCAATTTCTCCAAAGTGTCATTCGCCTTCAATTTTATCAAATATGTTTGTGTACCTAAGGAGAAAAATATTCATAAGCAAGATGAAACCGTTTTTAAGTGGGAAGAAACAAGCAAGCGTTATAGAATTTGAATACGCTGTTCTAATCTTACGCAAATACTAATCTGTGATTTTATTTTATTTAATATGATAATTCCATTGCTATTACCGTTAGCAGCCCGAATTCTGAGGGTCGTGATGATGACAGGTTGTCTCGCGTGAACGATTGAAGATTTTCTCCCAGAGACTCCAGACCCCGTAACTTTGCTAGAAACAGAACAGACCGACGATGAAGCAGCCAGTGGGGAAATTTCTTGAACCTTTTTAGTCACCATTCCCAAGCCAACGGGGGACGAAGACAGTATATTAGAAACTGAAGGTACTCTAGTGGCTTTTAGCGGTTTCGCCACCTGGCCCGCACTGTCGGATTTGGGCTCTTCCGACTTCGGAGAAGGGCTTTTAGAAGGCGTTTCTTTGTCTTTTTCTTCTGTTTCTTCTGAATCTGCTTTTTCGGTGTTTTCTTTTGTTTCTTCGTCTGAGTCATTCTCTTCCTGGCTCTCATCAGCTTCATCCAGAATGGGAGTGTGCACCAGCGTCAATGAACTCTTCCGGGATGAGCCCTTCCAACAGATCAAATAATTGATAATTATTAAAAAAAAATTCCTAATGGATATTTATTAATATTAAAGACTTATAAAGCTTTACTGTACTCGCCCACTTTCTCCATACGCTAGATATTCTATTGAAATCAAGGCCCTCTCCTTGTGACTTGAGAAACCTCTATACATGTATATGTGCTAGCCTACGAATCAAACATGGATTACAGACCTAACATTTGTACATACTTCACACAGCGGTTTTTCAAATTAGATAAACATTAACACTCACCATTAACATATCAGATACTTCCTCTCTCAGGTTTACAATCTTGCCGTTCTTCACGACACAGGCCGGCACTCTAGACAGGAAATCTTCCACTGAAGTTCGTCTCTTGCGTAAACTATCGACATCGATGTCCGTAGCGGCCACTCCTCCTCCTACAACCATACCGATGCTTCCTCGTCTGCCAGATCCGACCATCGCTGCGGCTTCCATTTCGTCGTGTAGTAGCATAGCTCTGTTCATTCTGTTCCATTCACGAGGACTTTTTCTCCTTCCTATATTAAGGGCCCTCCTTGCCACCTCACTTACTCTTCTAGCATCGCTGCCTCTCCTGGCTTCGCTGCCTCGCCGACCTTCTGTCATTTTCCTTGCGTCGCTACCGCGCCTCATGTCAATGACTCTTCGTACCTCACTGCCCCGGCGAGCTTCGCTCACGGGACGACCGTCTACTCCTTCGAAGTGCCGGGAAGCTTCGCTGCCTCTCCGGCAACTGTGAGTTTTTATTGGGGGCTCCGATGGCGCTGGAACTGATGGTTCTGGAGGAATAGTAGAAGTGATGGTGGATTGGGAGGTGGTTGAATGCTGTGAAACCGACGTCTGAATGCCGTGACTAGACACCGTCGTTACTGCTTGAGTCACGTGTTGGGCGATGATGCAGGTTGTGGTAACAACAGATGTGGCGAGAGTAGAGGTAGGAGGAGCGACTTCTATTCTCGTGACTTCACTTTCACTCTTGTCACTGGCACGTTGCAGGGAATCTCGACGGCTGCCTACATGCTGGAGGTAAGCAAAAGCTTTCGTCAGCATCTCAGGAAGCTTAGGAGAGGGAGACCGGGTAGGAAGTCTGCGGCAGGTCTAGAAAACCAATACGAATACATCGACTACTTGGCAGACACAGGAACTACAGTGCTAGTTAGTGACGATTCTACGACATTCAGTGTCAGTTATTATGGTATTTTATTGTAATTAAAAATTACAATAAACAAAAATTTCTGGAGGTTTAGTCGAATACAGTAATCGTCTGTTACGCAAGCTCCATAAATACATTATAGATTCAATGGGTATGAAATAAAATAATATAAATATAATTCTAAAAAATTTCATGAACACTCTTGCCATGATGACATTTTAACTTCATATCATTCTTAGATTATTGATTTCAAGGAAATTTCTGGTATTTAAACAACGCTATGGTATTAATAAATCAGGGTAAACGAAGATAGACTCTTTCAAAACTGTTTTATAAGACTCCAATATTTTGCTTAGAATACTCTCAAAATAATTACTAAAGCTAATCAGAACTGAATTTCATGATTGTCTTCCAACAGTTTGACACACTTCCCCTTGACAGTTATCTAAAATGGTCTCAAAATAAAAAAGTTTAACAAAACTTTAAATACAAAACAGTTCTCACCTCAAAACATTTCTAACGTCAAACAGTTCTAACCTCAAAAACTTTAACAGAACTTCAAGTACAAACAGTTCTCACCTCGCTGGATTCACTCTTGTATTCGGCTTCAGGGCAGAGCTTGGAGGGCTCGACCAGCGGGTCGGCCTCAGAGATGCTACCCGTCACCAGACTCGTGACGGACGTCAGGGACGAGCCTGTCAGGCCCGAGTCTCCCATTGATATCTTAGGGCGGGGCGGCACGGGCGGCCTCGAGCTGCCTTTGCGACGACTCGATGTCGGCAGGTGAATAACTTGTCGCTTGTCGCGCACCTTGAACGTTCCAAGAAGCAATATATATGTGATACGTATAATAAATTATTATTATTATAACTTTATCTCTCTTGTACGATCATTTCTTTTTGTTTTAATACAAAACTTTTTTCTATACTACTATTTAGTGAGTGAAATATCGATCAAAAATACTTTTACGTAAACGAATAATCAAGACCAGGATCATAATATATCCACATCACGAAAGCGATAAATCTTGAATGACCTATGAGGAGTCCGAAAGTCTTGAAAATCGTGATTTATATCTTGCTTCTGGACGAACATGAGACAACTTTATGGTCAAGATCATAATTCAATCGTTCCCCTGATAATCCTCACTTTGATCAGCGTCCCTCTGGTGTTGGGCGTTAGGACTTCATCAGGCATAAGGCCATCGAGGAGGTCCTGCAGGAAGCTCCTGGTGGATGAAGAGTCGAAACTGCGGAACGGCGAGTCCGCGGCGCCGACGACGATTCCGTTCTTGTAGACGGTCACGTCAACGCTCACCAAGTTCGACTGTTGATACGAACCGAATAATTTATTGCTAGACATTTGTTCTGTGGCTCTTTAAAATTCGTATAGTAATTACTGGTTAATAACCAGGTTTTTGAATTGCTTGAATTAACAGTTAATAGTTTAATAAATTAGGTCAGTAAATAACAAATTAGTTTAAAATAGCTTTCATTCAATAAAGAAGTATGCATGCCAGTAAAAAGGTGTTTCTTCACATCTAATGTAACCTAATATTTAAGACCAGGATTAATTTCGACGATGTAATTCCTCCTCAATTATTTGTGCATATAATTTAGAAAACTTTAACAGCTGTATATCCGTACTGTATGTGTAAATTCATCGTGCCCATCGCAATGCAACTCCGAGTCTGCAGAGCTGGCTTTACTCACGGCGTAGTTACTGTTTGTGGTACTGACCTTGTCTGCAGCTACAGGGGAAGCTGCCGCCAGGCCAGAGTCTGCATATGCAGAGCTGGCTTTGGTCACGGCGTAGTTACTGTTTGTGGTACTGACCTTGTCTGCAGCTACAGGGGAAGCTGCCGTCAGACCAGAGTCTGCAGAGCTAGCTTTACTCAAGGCGTAGTTGCTGTTTGTGGTACTGACCTTGTCTGCAGCTACAGGGGAAGCTGCCGCCAGACCAGAGTCTGCAGAGCTGGCTTTACTCAAGGCGTAGTGGCTGTTTGTGCTACTGACCTTGTCTGCAGCTACAGGGGAAGATGCCGTCAGACCAGAGTCTGCAGAGCTGGCTTTACTCAAGGCGTAGTTACTGTTTGTGGTACTGACCTTGTCTGCAGCTACAGGGGAAGCGGCCGCCAGACCAGAGTCTGCAGAGCTGGCTTTACTCACGGCGTAGTTACTGTTTTTGGTATACTGACCTTGTCTGCAGCTACAGGGGAAGCTGCCGCCAGGCCAGAGTCTGCAGAGCTGGCTTTGGTCACGGCGTTGGTGCTGTTGGTGGTGAGTGTCTCAGCGTTGAGCGTCTCGACAGCGGTGACGAGCTGCTCGAAGTCCAGCACGAAAGGTTCGGCCTCCGAAGACACGCTACGACTCGTTGACTCCACGGCGGTGCGGCGAACTCCGCGAGTCAACAGAGACGAGTCCGTCGGGGACCTGAGCACAGATTGAAATTCACTAAGGTTGGTATTTTTAAAATGATAAATCTTCAGTTTCAATTTAGAGTAATGCGGTACAAAGTATTTTCGTCATTCATCAGACTTTATAATTCCAGGGGTTCAATTTAAATTTGACCGATTAATAATAAGTCGGGTAAAAATTTACTTTTTGCTCGTACTATTGGAATCCGTCTGTTCAGAGCACCATGAAGTGCATGGGAGGATAACCAAATTTTAGGGGTAAAGTCCGTAGATGTTTTCCCTAATCCAAATAAACCCAGAAAAGCGTGTCCGAAAATTGTTGGTATACTGCTAGGTGCTTAACTATAATTGAGTACCCCTTACCTTCGGTTTTTCTTAATCTTAACCCTTGGAGGAGGTCTTCCAGCTCTCGAGGATCGCTTGGGGGAAGCCGTGGGTGTTGTATTGGTGGAGGAGAAGGAGGAAGATGAGGAAGAAGAGGAGGTGGAGCATGAGCGAGAAGAGGAGTAAGAAGCAAGAGGCTGCAGCGCGTACGATCCATCAGCCTCACTCCACACCAACCCATAGTCACCCAGGAATTGCTGTATAGGATAAATAACTGCTTTATTAATATACCTTAATAAATACTAATCACTATACACGACGAAAAAATTACTATTAAATTGACGAATAACATTTTTTCTCTATCGTTACTTGTTTTCGAAAGAAAATATTTAGCTAACTAAAGTATTGTGGTTTATTACACAAAATTCAACGATAGAATCTGAAAGTACGAACTGATGAAGTATAATTTAATTAGGTAATGAGTTTAAATAAAATGTTAAAGTTTAAGCGAGACCTCAAGTTTTAGGAGATGGTGCTCGAGTTTGGTGCACTTGGTCTCGAGGTGATAGATACGTTGTTCCTTGTAGGGGTCTAGCAGCCCCCGCATGTGCCCCCCACCCTGATCCTCCTCCCTCATACACATCCTGTACGCAAGACGGTGGACAGGAAATCAATACAATCTCACGCATTTCAGAAATCAGTAGGTAATACAAATCAATACAATGTCACGCATTTCAGAAATCAGTAGGTAATACAAATCAATACAATGTCATGCATTTCAGAAATCAGTAGGTAATACAAATCAATACAATGTCACGCATTTCAGAAATCAGATATAAATAATGCCTGAAAATAATTTTATTGTAAATAATATCTAAATTTCAGGACGTACGTACGAGGGTTGCAAGTTTCATTAATTAAGCATATAATTATTAGGAATCTTCCTAATTCCAGAAACGTGTCTCTGAATAATTCACAGTATGTACGAAATTTGCAAGTATCGTTATACTCATAGTAACAAGGAATGTTCCTAATTCCAGAAACGTGTCTCTGAATAATATTCACACAGTAAAGTCTCCTTAATTCATATAATTATCGTACAATATAAATCACTTAACGTCATTTCCAATTCAATAACATGAGCCTTAAGTTTATGCATATGAAGAGCAGGCATTAATAATTAATGTAACGTCCATCAAAGAGCAAGTCAAGAGCGCTCGATGGAACTAATATTGAGAATTCGATTAGCTTAGCAATTCCAGCGCTAATAAGACCGTGCCTCCCTCAAGATGAGCCCTGCATGTGATGTATTAATCAATCATTTTAATTATACGTATGATGAACCATAATGATCGAATGGTACAGGATCTGGAATCTTGACTCTATATTTATTCCTATTTATTCCAGTCATTCCAGATTTCACTGAAAGGGCGAATGAAAGTAAAAGGGCGATTTTTCACGAGTTCGCTCATGAAACCGACATCAAAAAGTTTCTGGCGTCATGCATTGAAAACAAAAAAAAAATGAATTTTTCTTTGAATGAAAGTTTCAAATGAAGTTGCGCTCCAAGACACGTGGCATCGCTGCCAAGCCAGTAACTGACGTCACTGCCAAGCCAGCAACTGACGTCACTGCCAAGCCAGCAACTGATGTCACTGCCAAGCCAGCAACTGATGTCACTGCCAAGCCAGCAACTGACGTCACTACCAAGCCAGTAACTGACGTCACTGCCAAGCCAGTAACTGATGCCACTGCCAAGCCAGTAACTGACGTCACTGCCAAGCCAGCAACTGACGTCACTACCACACCAGTAACTGACGTCACTGCCAAGCCAGCAACTGACGTCACTACCACACCAGTAACTGAAGTCACTGCCAAGCCAGTAACTGACGTCACTGCCAAGCCAGTAACTGACGTCACTGCCAAGCCAGTAACTAATATCAGTGCCACTTAGTTAAAGTTGTAGCGCAGGCGTCCATGTCATCAAGAGGCGCTCATTAGGTCTGTACCCCACGCCACACCTGCGGCCTGGTCTCGTCTGGTGCAATAATTACAGTCTTAAGCTCGTCTTCCCGGCGTGGGCTAGTGGGCTTCAATGCATGGCAAAGGCGAGGGTCGATGCTTTAAAGGCCGACTCTCTTTCGAAAGCAATTGCTTTATTCTTCATGCCCCTCTGAACAGCTTCATTCTTCAAGCCCTCCTGAACTACTTAATACTTCAAGCAGCTCTAAATAGCTTCATTCTTCATGCCCCTCTGAGCTGCTTCATTCTTCTTGCCCCACTGAACAGCTTAATACCTAAAGCCCCTCTGAGCGGCTTCATTCTTCATGCCCCTCTGAACAGCTTTACGCTTCCGGTCTTTTTGAACGGGTTTGCACTTCACGCTTTTTATTCTGAAGGGCTTCTTTCGGATTCTGTGGGCTTCTTTATAAAGACAATTCAAATCTTGGTTTTCAAAGAAAATAAAACAGCAAATCCCGATCGAGGCTTGACTTAAGTATGATCTTAAACAGCCTCGCGACACAGGTCGGCACCCTAAACAAACAGCCTCATTGAAATATCTCACGAACAGATACGTCAATGGTGTCATGCACTACGTTTACAATTCCTTTTTACTTTTGAAATTAATTACAATAATTTAAAATAATTTGTTAACAATGCTAGTAACCTCAATGGAGTTTACTCCATAATTAAGATGCTTCCACAGCTCAAGTCATGGACTGACCTGACTTTCTCCTCAAGCACGGCAATATGGAAGTCCCTCTGCCTGAGGGCCTGTCGCGCCTGCGCCAGTTTGGTCTCCATGTCCATAAGCTTATTGGTGAGCACCGCCAGCAGCTCCCGGTCACTGATGCCGCCATCAGCTCCTAAGCCGCTGCTGATGCTGCTGATTACTCCTGATACTCCTGCTGATTTATCTGCGACACATGGATGCTCTTGTTTAGATAGAATATTATTATCTGTGGCACATGGATGCTCTTGTTTAGATAGAATATTATTATCTGCGACACATGGATGCTCGTGTTTAGATAGAATATTATTATCTGCGACACATGGATGCTCGTGTTTAGATAGAATATTATTATCTGCGACACACGGATGCTCTTGTTTAGATAGAATATTATTATTTGCGACACATGGATGCTCTTGTTTAGATAGAATATTTAGCTAAGCAAAGTAAATGATTTTTCCCATGATGCAAAGGACAGTTAGGCAATGACATGTAATTAATAGAATTTAATTGCAGTCGCAAGTACTGAAAAATATTACGACTATTTTGAAGATAATACTACCCATATGGAACGCACAGTCCGTATGGAATAAAGTAATAAGTTAAAGGCAAGATTATTTAAATAATTTCCGATCGATGATGGAATTTGTCTTCGAATGTAGAAATTGTGACATGAATCGCGGAAGTTAAGGTTAAAATTATATGACTAAGAGAACCTTAAAATGCGCAAATCAATGCGCTAGCAACACCACAAACGGGAACAAAAATTGCATGCTCGATTGGAATGGCATCGGCTTCTGGGTTGAGGCGCTGAGTGATCTAAATTTATATTATAATTACAAACACTTCTCAACAATGATGTCATAACGAAAAGTAAAGGCTCCAATTAACGAGTTTGATGTAGTTGTTTTCAAACAATCATGGCCGTTCATTCAAAATCCACATTTTATCTACAACAATATCTGTTCAGTGTTAATAACTGTGTTGCCCTGTGAAGCCAGAATGTGAATTGCTGTTTATGTTGCACTGACATCGCGTGCGTTGAGATGACAATGATAAAGATATTGTGTTGGGATAGCTTTGCGTTCGCTAGTGAAAGAAATAATTATTTACAATGTACATTGTGATTAATTGTTATGAATAAAAAAAGGTTTACTTGGCGAATAGGCTTTCAATTTGAATTCTTCTTACAAAATATCTGGCTCTAGAAAACTATTTGGAAATCTTTTATTTTATATTGTTTAACAGTTTTCTGTCGATATTTTCATGCATACAATTTTAGGAAATTTTTCACAAAGAAAGGCAATTTATTACTTGCGTACAATTTAAATACAATTTGAATAATGCAATTTTTGCATCTTCAAAGAAGTTTTCTAGCACTGAACAGAGCGAAGTGAACATGACACATTACAATAGTCTTTGAGTGGAACGCATTTAGGATTACTAGGCATTCATTGCCGGTCTTTGCAGTCTTTCAATTATAAAATAAGAAGCTTATGAAGAATTGCCAAAGATCAAATAATGTTAAGAGACGCTCTTTGGGGGCTGGTAGTGCAAAAAATATAATCGACGACGCGCTCTGCACCGCTGTTTGCAACCTGGTAATTAAATTAATTTGTTAACACAGCATACTTGACAAACAGTTATGAAAGCGTTCATATATGAGATTGCAACAGAAAATCTCATTCCTTAAAAAATTGAGATATACTATCAAGCAAATTTCATAACATATTTTCCGTAATTACCAAAAAATGTATGTTCTACATATTTTACAAATAGTTAAGTCGAAAGTAAGCGTCATTCATGCACATTGTATAAGACTATGTGAATATCCATCAACGCTTTAGTGACTCTGTATGATAACACTTCACAGATAACAGATTGTACTGATTTATCATATTTTTTCATGCATAACATAACTTTAGCACACAATTTCTAATGTGTACGAATATACAAAGCCAATTGAATATTTTCACCCCAGAATTAAATCGAACCCCCAGAACCGTATCTCAACTCAGGCCGGAAAAAATCGAGTCTAAATAGCTACTTGACAATAATTACGCCGTAATTGACCATCTCGGAAAAATTATCACCAGTTTACATATGTAAAACATTTCCTTTTCTTCATTCTGATTCTTTCGTATAACATTAGCACTCAACGTAGATTCCGTGCGTGCTTGCAGCAGGAACAAAAGCTCCTGATTTCCGCAGTTAATGTTTGCACTGTGTAAATAAACGTGGAGCGGAACGAAGTAAAATTGGCGTCTCTCCTCTCGCATTTCCGGGATGATCTTCAGACGAGGAGGCGTTTACAAGCTGGATAAAAGAGCGATATTGTGCAGCTCAAACACACATGGCGCTAGTAAATATTTCAGAGCAATTATAGGAACTTTTGGAACACAAATATTTACGTTCGTGTGGATCTTACTGGCGAAGAATTCAAACTTCGAATTATTATCATAATTATTCGTAAGTTTAATAACTGTTCTAAATATAATAAATAAAATAATAGCGGTTTCAGCGTTATTAGGCCGTAGGCCTGTCGCCGATTCTAAACATCGCAGAACTTTCACAGCATTTTGCGGTCTCGAACTCGCAACTCACTGCTACAATTCTGCTGTGCTTAACCGCCCGGCCTCCTCGCCGATTCTGACCAGAAACTGGCGCACAGAGCTGGGATCGAACCCGCGCCTCTCTGCGCCAATCTTGGTACTCTGAACTTTAACCGCTGGGCCACCCTGGATATTTTTAGCGTTAATAAGAAATATTGTGTTACAATTAATTAATGTAACCCTTTACGCCATGAGCGCGTTTCAAAATATAATGAATGTCTGTTGGATCTTCATCAATAGTTAAGTCGCTGTCTTCTATTTCTATAAGTCTTCTACTCATTAGTTGTCCGTACACCGGTCGTGAGTTCACCGGCAGCCAAAATACATTATTTTACAATTAACTAATTCGTAAGAACACGTCATTCATATTATTACAATTACAATTTTAATTGATATCGAGCGTCATGCTTTAGAGTAAAGAAGTATCCATGCTGCCAAGGAGGGCAGAAGACCGACCCCGCTTGGTCCACCAGCCAGGAAGTGAAGCGAATGGCGGAGAGAAATTCGAAAGCAGACTTTGAGGCGGTGGTGTACTGAGTAGCTTTCCTTCCATGTATTTGAAGAATAAGAGTTTTATCCTATGATCTATAACAGAAAAAAATTAAACGGTAAAAATAAAATTATTCTGTCGCAAAATGTCGAACTGGAAGCGATTTGCGTTTGTGTTAGAACTTTGCTGCAGTCTCAAGCAAAAGGTATTAACAAACGACTTCTGCTCTACCAGCTTCAAAACTAAATTAAGGTGAAGTTCTCGTAGTTTCCTGATTAGCTTATTGAACATTTCTGAATTACTATAGTTATATCGTTAGCGATATCAAGGCTAAATTTGTCATCGTTCATTAATTTCTACCGTGTGAACGGTAGTCGCAAGTTGCTCAGAGAGCCGCACAGGTTAGAGTGTGTTTTTATTTGTATTTTTTTTTTATTTGCGAAGCACTCCTCCTACCATTTTATTCCAACAGTAAATGAAATTTTATTTAATTAGTACAATAATTTATGAAAAATTTTTTGGGGTTTATAATTGGTAATGTACAATTATCCTGTTATTATATAAAAACATTAATACAATGCATGGATGAAGAGAGAGACAGAGAGGCGCCATATCCGTGGCAGCCATGCTACGCTCTGAACAGACAACGTGTTTGGCCCCTCCGACGAACTGAATAATGAATAACTTTTATCTCTTTATCAGCTCATGCATTTCCACTGTTCCAACATCAAGTAAAATAAGCAACATTTTGTTCTAAACGAAAGGCCGTGCAGATTTGGTTGAAATATTTTGGCAAACTTGATTCTTATTACATGCGTGTTATTTTGGAACAATAAAATTATCCTAATCATCATGATAAAATTGTTTTAAATTAATTGACTTGATCCTTATGTAGACTCTAATCATCATTGTCATTTTATTTTCTGTTCAAGCTAATTATCATTAGATTGATTATGAAATAGAGATTGTAAGATTATATTTTGCGGATTATTTTACATTATATTCAGCATTATATACTTCAACAAAAAATCAAAACAGTTATTCCACTAACAAAATTGAAGTCCACCGAAAATATATTAAGGGTAAAGGAAAATAAAATCCATTCGGGAAATATTTGGGGAAGGACGAAATAAATAAACTTGAGTGAAATAGTTTCCCACGCCATGTTTCTAGAACATCGATGACTTTCGTTTGAATTCAAACATCAAAAATGTAATTGAAAAATCAATTTGTATCCAAAATTATTCGGCTGCTTTTTGGTTCCTTCAAAACTGTCACATCTGCATTAAAAATAAAACTCACACACATGAACAAATCCCTCACATGAACAAATTTTTTAGGGTAAGACTTTCGCATCAAGTCTTACCCTGAAGCTTACATGGAATAAATTCCATATCGCGAAACATCCATGCAAGGCTCATCCAGTTATTATGCTTAGTTATTAATAAAAACAAGCTGAATTAAAAATAGAATTTAAAATTAATTAAATAAAAATAGAACCAAATTAACGCTCAGGAAATTTGTTACTTCTCTTCTCTTTATACTTCTTTTTAATATTATTTATATTCAAAATTATCGAACACTTAATAACAATGCACATAATAATTCTTACGAATGCAATCGAAAGTATCTTCGGAAAAATTCCTAGCCTGAGCAAAATAAGCTTGTAAATCATTCAGCCAAACTTGCTCTTGAAGATTGCAAATGCTTGCTCCAAGAGAAATTTCGGCGAGCAACTAATTAATAAAAATGTCATTTCTAAGAAATTGACAGCAGGGATACAAGCTCTAAAGCTGAGTAACAAGCCAAAACTACAAGCAAGTAGAGAAATAATAAATATTTTAAATTCATCATGCGTTGCAGGCATTCGATGTTTTATCTTCACTATGAGGGCTCACCATGGGAAGAAGGATGTCTAGAGGACCGATGATGGTGTTGATGTTGGTGATGGTGATGATGGTGGTGGTGATGAGGCCGAGATGTAGGAAGAGGAGGAGTTGGGTGGTGGGGAGCCCTGGGCAGTGGGAGTTCGGCGGGGAGTGAGCCTGTATTCATTGCGTGTCTAGGCGGCGGGGCGCAAGACATCAGAGGGTCTGATCCAGCGCGGGCTAGCAAGGGGAAGCCGTCCGTGCGCAGCCTCTGTTGGCAGCGAGCAGGCTACATGGCAACGTTGGATCGCAGCTACAGTGGCTACGTTGTATCGTAGCTACATTGTATCGTAGCTACAATGTATTGTAGCTACGTGTATTGTAGCTATATTGCACCGTAGATACATTGTGTCGTATATATAGCTACATTGGTTACGTTGTATCGTAGCTACATTGTATCGTAGTTACGTTTCACGTGATGCTATATACGTACAACCGTAAAGAGACATAACAATGTGACCCGCTAGAAAAACTGCGTCAAAGTTACAAAGCTTTGATTTGAAATGTTTAGGTGTATGAAGATTCAGGAAATATGCAGACTTGTATGTTGCACGCGGTGAGAGCGCATGTCAAGCATGTGAACACCGAATTGCAGTGTACGGTGAAGGTCTCTCATTGTTTGATGAGCGTGAACATTATTATTCGTGTTCTCTCTGTGATGCACTGTTATGGAAAGTGATGTTCAATTACCAATTAAAAAACCTGAAAATTTTTGAATTGGATCAGTTCAGTGGCACCACGTACGTAGGATGCAGATTCCTACCTTGAAAACCGCCCGAAAATCAATTACATAATAAAGTTGTGCTGAAATTTATACCTGAGAATACAGGTTATTCGGCTGTTAAACATTTAGGAGAATGTGTTTTTTACATGGTACTACACAAAAGCAGGCAAAATCTTGAGCTAGCGAGAGATTTTGTGGTAAAAATTCGATTTTGCAGTGTGAGGGTGCGTTTGCCAAGGGCGTCAACAACAATTTGTCAGAGAAGGAGTGTTGAAAGGGCGTGAGATGGTTATGAGCTCAATATGCTGGACTTGATGATAATTATACTTATATTTCTCAAAAGCGGAGCACGTTCAATCGAAGGCTATTGTGAGATCTCGGCGTATGGCGTATTGCCTCGATGAATTCAAAATGAATTTCCAGCTGAAATCTCGCAGAGCAATATTAAATTATTTGAAATTTGTACCGTTGTTGAATAGTTCTTGTTTCAGTTTTAACAGTAAACGTACTGCCCTCTAATTGTATTAGTGTCTACACGTGAGATTTTAGACTAATTGTGCTCCCTTGTATTTGTGGCAAAGCGTGAGACACGTTTTTAACGTTTTTCCCGTAACTAAACAGTTGTTTTCATCGGATGGATTAGCAAAATAGTACATGCAACTTATTCCAGCCACACGAACACACAACTCACTGTATTTTGCATTAAAATACAAGGGAAAGGATACACATACACAAAACAAACACGTATTACGCACAAGACTACACAGGGTGATACACAGGAATAATTCATGTGTAGAATCGGACAATAGGGTTTCGTGGTGCTCTAATGTGCAATCACACATGCAAGAAAAATAATAGTGAGCTAACCGGGTGCAAAGTTGCACCTATCGCTTGCCATGGTCTGAATCAGATCCGTGCTCAGCAATTAACAATTGTGATTACTGCTCTTTGAAGGGCATGTATACTGATAGCCATAACACGTTCCACGCAGCGACCTGTTGCCGTCGCATCTACTTAGGGAGAATATTGCCAGCCTAGCACCTTTTATAGTTGAACTGTTCAACCGCTCCCTCGCACATGTCCTCTGTTTTAGCATAGACGTCATCTGTTTTTATCCTTTCGGGTCTTTTTAAGCCGCTTGTAACGTGCCCTCGAAGTTCGATGTGAACAAGACGCCACGACAATCTCTTCGTGGAATAATAATAATAATAATAATAATAATCTGCTTCTCATTAATATTACAGCTAACTCATAAACACATTAAAGGTATTATGGAATACTACATATTATTGTTTAGCTGAGCAATATTTTATTTTCTTAGACTAACTGTCTGTGCCACGTAATAAATTAATACTTGATATCCAAGAAGATACAATTACATAGTGCTCAGCTCTGCTTTACCATGGTTCTAGTTATCCTGTAAATGATTAGAAATTATTATAAAAATCTCAAAACACAAACTAAAATTATCCGGAGGTATTTAAATGGAAATAAGTTTCACCGAAATTTCACATAAAATGTGAGGCGCGTCATGGCCGTGGCGCTACATGGCTCGGTCGATGTGTACGATGTGTATCGAGGCTGAAAAGATCCGAGCGTCCGTTATTTGTGCCTTGATTATCGGCAAGAGCGAATACCTGCGGCCTCGTGTTGACCCTGACACTGAATGGCGGAGAGACAGACACATTGGATAGCCTGGGTTAGAAACGCTCTATATTGGACTCTTGAGCTAGACAATACGTTGCTCTAAAATCCTAACGATGGAAGGAAAGAAATAAACTGCCATTTCAAAAAAGCCGAGGCTTGAAATTATTACACATATCATTATATGCTTGCGGGAGAGAATACGAGTAATATTTTAATAAATTATTTGTAAACTAATGGAAGAGAAACAGCTGATGGTGAATTGCCTCGTGCTGATGAGTTTCACGGTCTTGGGCCGTTTGAGAAAAGCACTGAAGAGCTTGAATGACGAGATCATTAGTGCTCGGAACACGGTTGTAGTGTGTACTGACAAAATATTGACCGAATGCGTGTATAAATCTGTATAAATAAACCATAGTAAGTCCACACAGAAGCAGAGTTATGGCGAGTGTGTAGCAACGTGAAGGAAGAAATCCGGTGTACGTGAAGGAAGAAAGTGAAGGAAGAAATCCGGTGAGAAGATGAAAGTAGTGACATTAAGTTTTCCGAGGGTTAAATCGTGCATATCTTATCCGAGATGGCCTAAAACGAGGTGCACGGTTTGAAATGCAGTTTTTAAAAAAAGGACGATTAGTGAGTTATTAATGCAGTGAGGCATAGTTACAAAGAAGAAAATTTCATCATCGTATAAATTCAAGATCAGTAAAGTGAAATGATGAATTGATGATCAACATAAACGTAGCAAACCCAGCTACTGTATGAATAACAAAAGCTATAATATTTGTTCATACCATCCGACGGGTTGCTGCCTAGAAATTGTTAATCGAGAGTTTTGATTAATTATTGAATGCCGAACTTTAGTTATCACGTTCAAGATTAGCTTGTTCTGCGCGAATGAGCTCAAATTCCTCCCACCGGTAAGGTAAAATGGGATAAAATCTTTCTCATTGAAAAAATTTTGGATGCAACAGCTGTGAAAATATACTGTACAAAGTCAAAAGATCCACTGTAATCATATGAAAAAATTGCACCGAATCGAGAAAGATAATATGCAGGCATGTATGTTGCACGCGGTGAGAGTGCATGAACATTCAAGGGAGAATCAAAGGACAGAATGTTTCCTAACCAGGCAGCGCATCCTAGTAACTCTCGACGTTACCGTTCAAAATGTCGGACGAAAACGATCGAGAGCCTTCTAACAATTATTTCGAAGTTCTATGAAATACATGTTCTTGTACAATCGTACTCTTTTAGTAATCAAAAAAGAGTGGCTATTTAAAAAATTCTAAACTCTTTTTATATTTATGAATGCTTGTTATCTTTCATCTGATTTCCACTTGAATGATAAAATACGTCATCAAAGAGACGTATTTTGGTGCTGCATCCTCTCTGTATCCTCGATGGTGCTGTATCCTCTCTTATTCATATAGCATTTCAAGGCTCTAATCGCTATTCAAGCATCAGAGTTTTCGACCAATTTGAAAAGCCTGTTTTCTATAAATGTGATACTTATCGTGAAAAAATGCCATAGAAATGTTGAGATTATGCTTGGTTTGTAAAATTTAGGAGTACTTCATTTTTGCCGCATATCTGCATAACTTTCAAATTTCATAAATATTTTCTCCCCTTTACATGCGCAACATATCGGTAATAGCTGAATTATTTGCCTATACTCACTATTCAATTAAATTTACGTAAAAGGAGTAGGCGCATTATAAATGCAAGGAATTCAAATTTTTGAATTTTTTCTTTAATTTAAACAAATTTTAAAGTAATTTACCTATATTTTATGAGTAAGCTTTGCAAGCTCATTGTAAATTTAGGAGCAAATCTCCGATGAATGACATCGGTTGCTTGTCAACTCATCGTCACGAGTAATAAATCATTTATTTATGTCGAATGTTTTCCTTATAAATCATGGAATACATTACGAGAGTGAGTTGTTTCCATCCTACCCACTGAGAAATATCCAATATAAATGGATATAATTTAATCATTCCGCATGAGTGGGCACATGCATTCTCTCATTTCATGCCTGTGAGGAATCGACCTGAGGATAACCTAGAAAAGACCAGTAAGAGGATAGCCTTAAGAGGACCAGTGAGAGGATGATCCAAAGAGAACCTGTAAGAGAACAACCGTGAAAAGACCTGAAATGGTATAACCTTAAAATGCCTCTGAGAGAATGACCTTGAAAGGACTTTTAAGAGGATAACTTTAAGAGACAACCTTTAGAGGTTTGTAAGAGGATCATCTCCACAAAAGTGGCTTAAATCTGCGAGTGCAAATGTAGCTCTTTTAAGAGTTATACTATCTACTCATGACCGATGAACTACTGAAAACAAAGTAATACTTGACAAAATTCACCCTCTTAGTCTCGAGCGACTCCCTATCTTCATTATCATCATCACCAGCATTATCACCTTCATCGTCACCATATCGTCTTTCGAAAAAAAAGAAAAAACATAAAAAGTAAAAATGCATCTAAATAGTAAGAGCACGCATCCTTTTTTTTTGCTTAACAGTGTCAGTAATGTAAATAAAGTAAACAAAGAACCAACATCTTCTCATCACCTACCGACTCAAACCATCCAAAGCCCTGAAGAGTTCCCCCCTCCCTCCCAACCCAAATATAACCCACCCACCTACAACCCACCCAATCATGCGCAATGCGCCTTTTTATCTCCTTCTGTCTTTTCTGTTTCTGCTTCCTCTTTCTGGCCACTCTTCGCCACTGCGCCACTATTCTCTTCCACTATTTCCAAGCGGCACCGCAACAACAAAAAATCTATTCAGTTACGTCCAATGCCGTTGCCAGCGACTGACTAGCAGCAATAGAGATACGGTGATGGGTTACCTGTATAGTGGGCGAAAGGATCGGTGAAGAGCATCCCGAGTGTGGTCGCGAGCGGGAGCGGTGGGAGGGAGCGGAGTGAGAGGTGCGTTGCGACAGCGCCGTCAGCTGCCTGATCTGGTCGTCCGAGAAGTCGGGGTGTCGGAACGGAAGCGCTCGCCTGCAACAACCAAGAGTGATGTGTCATCATCCGTGGATTGTTTAACTAAAGCAACAACCGAGAGGTGATTTCGTCTCCTCTGATGTAGCAATTGGCCTTAATGCCTCGACAACAACGAATTTTTTTTAAAGAGTCACTCTAGCCTCGTTCAGTGACTGAGGGTGGTTGTGCTCCAGCAGGAGGCGGAGGTGCGGTATCACCGATACCGCGACTCATAAAACAGATTTGTGGACTAGCGACGGGAGAACTGGCGACTGCTTGGCTCGTCGACGTGTACGTCATTGGCAGGATATGTCGGCTAGATAACTGCGAATGGCGGGAGCATCGCTCGTTATCGCTGCGATTTATTAAAAGAAAACAAGGAAATAGGGCTAAATGACGTTGGAATGATGGTCAATTATGAATAAATTTTGATAGCCGTAGCGATAAATTCGAAACCATGGAGACAAACTTGGTATGAATGTTGATGTCATCATGACGGAAATGCTTGCAAGTGATCAAATGTGCCGGTTGAAACGAGATCGTTGACAGTGCAGGGCGATTGCACTGTTACCGATAGTGCTGTATCCTCTCTTGTTCATATAGCATTTTAATAATGATTAGATTTTGTCCTGTAAAATTACTCGTTGTCTATAAACTGGCAATTCAAAAATTTATAGTAAATTTATATATATTACAGTATATGATATTCAAAACAGCATTTTTAACACCCTGATTTTCAGCGGTGTTTATGCATTCTACACCAGGCAATGCCAACAACCGAAATTCCACTCTGTAGAGACAGAATAAAAAACATTTTGTTAATTATTGCTTGCACAAATATGATTATGCTACTTAAGAATTAACAGATGATAGTATTACGAAAATTTATAATCAATAAAAATGTTGCTACTTCATCGACTAATTTTAGATATTTATTAGACTATATATAGTGTTGTCTGGGCAGCAATGAAGCGAGCAGCCCTACGGCAGCCAGCCTAAACTGCCTGCCTGGGTAATTTCGGTTAATTTTAGACATGTTTGATGTGTTGAAGGACATTCGCTAGCTGACATTTCGGTTGCGTTTGACGGGAAATCCTGTCCTGAAATTGCAGCTAAATTTTCTGCAATTAGCTGCGAATTTGTTATTTAGCTTCGAATGCCCTAAATAGACAGACATTCGAAGCCTGTCGTAGAACAGCGTTGTTAAGCGATATTAGAGCAGTCAAGACGGCTAATTAAGGCCGTATAATGGATACGCGCTTCTTCACTCTGTAAGTCGCTTTCACGAAAATTTTTGACCTTATAATGCAACTAAATTTTTGAAAGACATTCGTATAGGACATTGTAGTTATATTGACGAATCATAGAAAGTTGTTGTCTGTTGTTGAAGAGGCCTCACGAAATAGTATGATGTCGATGTGCATTCTGTATTATAAATTCAAGTTTTGAGATTTTTTCCCGTGACATTGCATTTATTTGTTTTTATGTTTGTACTGCCACTTGTGGTATGACATCGACCGGCGCTTTGTAGGACGTACCGTAAGAACGGCCGAGTGAAGTTTGTTCTCCTTAGCAATAGCTTGCATTTCCACAGTTCGTCGGAACAAAAACCTTATGCTTGCCGCGATTCAGGAGATTAATATTGACAAACACCTTTTGCTACCCGAACTAAGGCAAGGAATTGCAAGCTGAGAGTGAATTAATTTATTATTTTATATTTTAAGTTTCGCATCAGGTAAGATTGGGGGTTTTCAGCTTTCAATTGAATTCTTCAAGAAAGGTCCTGCCCAGTGTATAATTATATACGTCAAGTAATAAAATATCATGTGTATATAAATTTAAAAGTTAATTGAATGTCAAGTGTTATCCGATTATGCTTCCTCTTCTAACATCGAAAATTCTGTAAGCCATTAGGAAATTACAAGTATAAGTTAATTCAATTAATTGAATAATTTAATCGGTGAAAGTTAATCTAATTGGCCAGCTGGAACATGGAACGTATCGTCGTATAAACGACACGACGTTCTCCGTGCAACACCATCACACTGCGCTAATAAATGAACATGAAAGCTATCGCTGCAAAAGGCGAGGCTTTCACCATGAGTTTATGAATTGTGTTTCGATGCAGATATTTATGATGCTCAAGCTAATAATATATAACTAAGACGCGCTCTCCCCGCAATGATAAATGCATTGACAAAAGCTCAAATGCCTGTAGAGTACGAAAACATTTGGAAATATATTATAAAAAAAATTTCTCATTGGGAGCGAGTTGCAGTGTTTGCTCTGGTTTTATCACTAACTTAAGAAACATTTCCTGAAATATATATTGCGCGAAACTGAAATTTGGAAAGGGGGGCCCAGTGGTTACAGTTCAGAGTATCAAGATTGGAATAGAGAGGCGCGGGTTCGATCCCAGCTCTGTGCGCCAGTTTCTGGTCAGAATCGGCAAGGAGGCCGGGCGGTTAAGCACAGCAGAATTGTAGCAGTGAGTTGCGAGTTCGAGACCGCAACATGCTATGAATATTCGGCAATGTTAGTAATCGGCGACAGGCCTACGGCCCAATAAACGCTGAAACCACTAGTATTATTATAATTGGAAATTCCACATGTGATCAAATTTGGTCGACTGCAGGACAATTTCGGATACAATTTATTGCCAATATCTACCAATATTCGCCTAAAATTTGCATTCAAAGTTGCGACGATGAAGAATATTTTTTCTCTAAATTTACTGGTGAATGCGAATTCAAAAAAAACTGTGAATTGATGTTTCGTACAATTTTATACGATATTGTTGGTCCCGCAAACAAGCCGTTAAGGTCCGCGCAATATTTTTGCTGATATGTGCCAGTTTAATCACAATTATTAAAAAAAACTGACAAGGAAAATTACTACTCCTGCGAGTGTCGGTTTTGGATCATAGAAGGTGCTGGAGGTTCTAAGTCTGTTCACAGTTGAATAACGATAAGCGATGACATTTGCTGGATGTGGAAAAGGTTATAGCACAAATATGTGAATATTTATTTGACGAATGTCGGTATATTCGACGATAAACTGATTACAGCTATAATATTCACAATGTTGACGTAACTTTCCCTATATTTTTTAGATTTTGCCTTTTTGAAATACATAATTCTTTTGAAATAATAGGATGGGTTTTTTTTCCTGGATATATAATTAATTCTTGACATATCTCCTTAATGATACATGAACTTTTTTGATACTGTATTTTCTGCCTACTATTGGATATTGCTTGTATGTGTTTTCCTGCTCTACAAATTTATGCTTGCTGAAATCTATTCTAAGAGAATTGCCTCAACGTTGAGCTCGTGTATTATCTACTCAAATAAATAAAGAATAATTCAAGGCCCATAGAAGGCCAAAATCATCAGAACCATCACCTCTCTAGCTCGTACAATCGTTCGATGTTTGGATTAATGATTCAAGTCAAGAGTACATCGAAAGCTGCCATGGCTCGGCTGAATTTCAGAGCATTAAGTCATTATTATGGCCAGAAATTCTTTGCGATTTTGTATGTAGCCTCGTTTAAATAGAAAGGAACGTGTAAGGCATTCCGCACCATTGATCATGAAAGAAACGGTGAATCGCCTTCACCTGATTAGGCATCTCATTAGCGAGTCGCTATGAGCGCCCCTGATAAAATTTCCGTTTTATGCGCCATAATACGGGAAATTCGGATCCACATTGGCTCAGAATTTCGACTTCCGGGGTTCCAACAAGATTTGCAAAGAAAGAAGAAGAAATTTCCGAATGAATTAAAGGAATTAAACTGGTAGTGCTTTTTGGGTAATTACCTTTGATTCGACCAGAAATACATTTTACATTAAATTATGAGCAAACGCTGCCACCTGCGTCGCATTGTTGACCATTTCTTTTGTGCATGTCGACTAAAATGTCTTCAGTATTGTGCAGTGAAATTTTGAACTCCCGGAAACGAATTTTTGGATCAAAACACTTTGAAATCAATACAATATTCCAGAACATATTATGTGATTCCAGATGAATAATGAAACTGAACGTCGTTTGTGAACAAGTCCGAATCTTGCTAGAAACTTTTCGATTTCGTTTCATCCAATTCCTCTTCATAAACAACTTCAGCAACGTCATAATTGATATTTTGGATTAATCTTGAATTAAATTGTGAATTCGAACAAACGTTTTCACTCTAATAACATAATGAAAAAAATTCACTCTACTTAAGATTTCTTAATAATCCCTCCACGAAATAAAAGAAACAACAGCGCATGACAAGCAGCAACCTCATAATGTGCCAGTCTTCACCACATGTCGAATTTTTCCCTCAAAGCCAGAATGAAACGCCGTACAATTTTCGTCGTTTCAATGGAAGCTCATAATCGCGTCAAAGAATCCTCGCTGCGCCGAGGTGCGGTTATTGCCATGGGGTGAAAGGCTTCAAATTAGGACGACACATAAAAAATGTCTAAAGTTTAAAATAAATTGACACATGTCGGCTACATAAAAATTGTCTAAAGTTTAAAATAAATTGACACATGTCGGCCACATAAAAATTGTCTAAAGTTTAAAATATACTGACACGTCCCGGCCTGATAGCGAAAACGTTAATTTTTTAAATACCATGCGTAGCAGAAACGGTGGTGGTAATCACACTAATACTGATCAAAGGTAAGTCAGAGACACGAGAGTAATGCTCTTATTACCTTCAAGACTCATGCTAATTATTTTTTATAGAAGATCCTCTTTTTACGGCTTATTTATAACTTCAGATCAACGTGCGTAATAATCGTAATTAACTTAAGTTTACTAAGCAATTTTATTTGATTTTTCACTAGAGATCCTCAGATATTTTAAAATTCTCGTATAATTTGGCGATGTATGAAGTAAAAATAGACAGATCAGCAGCTGCGGCATTAAAGAAGAGCGCCTGAGCTGCCGTCGTGCTGCTTTAGCGCTGGCTTGAGTTGTCTCCTGCAACCGCGCTTCTAAATCCCTTCCTACAGCTACTTGCTAATACT